GGGATAAACATTTTCTCCTTTATTTATCCCCTATTTATAAAATTGTCTCCTGCCCAATTAGTATGGGCAGGAGACAATTTGTATATGGGCTAGCGCTCTGCATTACAGCATTGGGTTATGTCGGTTACTCTGATTATTATTTTTTATAAACAAAAGGCGACAAACGAGCACGCAGTCCACCTGATGGTAAGTGGATGGTGTGGTCCATAAACACCTACAACTATCCTCGATTAAGAATAAAAATGCAGATGCGTAGTCATTCCTGAGAACTAAGATGAGGTCTTCGGTTCATTCCTCGGTCGAGTCGACACATTCGTGCTATAATACAGCTGCAGCACGGCTTTACCACGTATACGTTTTTACTACCCTACGACGGATATCATTATTACTTTCGGATTTATTACGTAGATAAAATTTTAGTATAGCGCTCTCCATCGCTTGTTAAGCGAATCAAAATATTAATTCAATTTACAAAATAAGCAAAGGGATAAGAGCAAGATAGTTTTCAAAGGAACAAATGAAATAATATAACAACTTTTAAAATGAGTCTATATTAACACAATGTGTATAATACACAGAAATACATTTATGATTCGTATAATATACATACAATAAATACTTTAATACATTAATTACATACAAATTTACTCTTACATATTTAAACTGCTGGTAGCAAAATATTTCGCAAGCACATCTCTTAAGGAATGTAAGTTGTAAGGTCATAAGAGACAACTATTAAGTGGTCGCTCTTATAAATAAAAACGATTCACGCACTCGGTTATGTATTAAAAGCAAAGGTAACAGCTCTCAACTGCTGAGCACAGGTCTACTCTCATTTCTGACAGGTATTTAGGACAGGAAGGACCCACCGCGTTGGCCGAATGGGTGATGGCGGACTTCACATGTCTTAGAATTATTGGAACGAAGTTCCTTATCCGGACGGTACGGGTTTGACGGATGAGAGCTAGGCGACAAAAAGTGTATGATATTTTCGTCACTACCCCTTGCGTCATAGTGTAGACGTCCTTGGCGGCGAAATAAGGAAGTGAGATGAAATAATATCCACCCCCCTCGCACTTTTTCTTATCTTGCCATGAAAGAAATATTATTTTATTTCAAATGACGCTTCATTTTAATAGACGCTAGTAATTCATTTATTTGTATTTGTTAATCAATAATATAATACCTACGTTTATCAATAATAATATACTACGCAAGGAACTTCGTTCTAACCGACTGTTCCACGACACTCACGCTTTTTTTTAGTTTGTCAAACATTGAAAAATAAAAAATAAACAATTTGGGATCGAACTCGGTTGCTAGCTTAGTGTGAAATTTACGGCGAGCGTTAAGTAATAAGACATACGCTGCTAAGAGCTCTTACGTAACTTTTTTAAAAGTTACGTAATTTTTAGAGCTAAGATTAGATAGTCTGTAAATATCACTTTAAAGCGGTAAACATTTTTAAGAATGGCAACATTATACATGTCCTTGCTGTGAAGGACAGAGCCCATCTATAACATTGAGCGACGACGTTAGGTTTGCCGGAATTTGTATTAAAGTTTTCAGAACTTTGCAGCAAACTGTAAGGAAGGTCTAGTTAAATTTTGATTAGGGCAACGTTCAGCATATGTTCAGCAGTGGACGTTTGACAGGCTGTGATGATGAATGAATGAATGAATTAATTAATTTCATCCTGCGCGTTTGACGACTTTCGCTAATATTAGGTCGGGAAAAAAGTTTCTTCGTATTTGTTTGTATAAAATTGACGAAAAATCTCTGGTTGTACTGGACGTATCTGGCTGGTTTTAATATCAATACATAAAGGATATAAAGAAAAAAAAGAATAAAAGTAAAAAACACTACCACCATTTTCAATTGTTTTTCTGTCCGCCAAAATGAGTGAATCTAACGAATAAATTCGATACATTCCCGAAGTTTCATTACAAAAAAGTGAAAAATGCGATTCAAGCCGCGAAAAAAATTTGTGACGTTTATGGACCTAATACAGTGTTAATAAGAGTACCACAGTTGTTTCAAGCGTTTTCAGTCCGGGAATTTTGATGTCAAAGATGCAGCTCGCTTTCTTTACCCTCCTACGGTAAAATTAGATGTCTTCTTGAAAAAGTGGAATAATATCGGCATATTAGCAGTTACGACATAGCCGAAGAATTGAGGATTGACCACATTACAGTTTTGACCTTGCACCCTCATATTTTCACCTGTTTCGGTCTCTTCAGAATTCTTTGGGTAGTGTTAGGTTAACATCAAGAGAAGACTGTCAAAACTACTTATCGCATTTTTTTTGATCAAAAATCCCATGATTTCTTCAGCATCTACAAGATGGCAACAAATGATCGAACAAAATGACACATATATATTATAATTAAAGTTTGTAGAAGTATAAAATACGAATAAACTTTTTCCCCGACCTATTATTAGCGAAAGTCGTCAAACGCGCAGGATGAAATTAATTAATTCATTCATTCATTCATCATCACAGCCTGTCAAACGTCCACTGCTGAACATATGCCTCCCCCAAAGATTGCCTCATGGGGAATATTTGCCATAGTTGCCATGCTTGGCAAGCGGATTAGAAACTGCAGTTTTTTATATTTTATATGGGCTACTGCCCATCTTCCCAGTTTCTTTTCATTGTCTCTTACATCCACTGGACAACACAGGGTAGAGGATTCGACACTATAAGACACAGCGACACTCTTTCACTTTGTCACCTACCTGTACTTTATGTGACGAGCGAAGATCTCGTGAAGTAGGTTTAGAAGCAATATCATATCAACGTTATGTTTTCAATATCCAAGATTAAATAGGCATTGGTTACTGAGCTGTGACGCAAAATATCAATTGAATACGCGTCATGAAATTTGATTTGATTTAATCTAATACTAACGCTGAGTAAGCGTGTTTTGGTTCTAAAATTAGCATTTTGATAAAGTTGAAATGCCGTATGTCAATGATCGAAATTCACGTATAAGCTTACAATAAAACGTATTAAAAGCAAATAATTCTATAAATGTCTATTTTATCTGCACATAAAAAGTTATAGCCTATATACGTCCCACTGCAAGGCACAGGCCGCCTCATTTCTTGGAGTTTTAGGGCAAGGAAATGTCCGCCGCGCTGCCCCAATACGTGTTGCCGGACTTCACATGTCTTCGAAATAATTTTTTTTCTTATTTCTCAGACATGCAGTTTTCCTCACGATGTTGCCCTTATTTAATTAACAATTTCATTGGTACCAGCGGGAATCGAACCCGGGATGCTCCGAGCGCTTAACCCCTGAGCTACCACGGCTCTGTATATAATTGTTTATTTTATTAATTTGAATTTACGATACTTCAACATATTTGTTATTCACATCGATAAATGTGTAGAGTCCGTACGGATAAAGAATGGGATTAGAAATGGCGGTTCGTACCGTCAAGATGCTAAGTACCAATAGTGAAAACCCGCTAAAACAGTACATCGTTATAACGTTATATTATTCTGTTAATTGCAAATTTTCTATTAATGGGAAAATATTTGAAAAGAACTATATACGCAATTAGGTACATTAATTTTAAAATAAAATTTATAAATAACGACCCGCTCTGACTTCGGCTGGGTGGGATCTATTAATATGGCGTTATTATTTAAGATAATCATTAAAAACCATTTTGTCGTATCAATATTTCTCTTTTAATAAAGTCTCTAAATTTTCCGGAAAAAATTTAGTCTAGTTCACTCCTGGTATTATTCTCTATTTGTTCGTGAAGTTTTATTACATTTGGTTCAGCCATTCTAAAGATTAGCTCGGACAGACAAACTAAAATTTTAAAAAACATAATCAACAATAATTATGAAGAACTCTCTGGAAGCGTCGTAGCTCACAAATTGGCGAACCGGACCGCATTTGTTTTTATAGTTTATGGCATTTTGTTATCATTGATTCCAATGACAATCGCGACATATCACAACCTATTTTTCTTGCAGTCTATACTGGCGGGTGAGTATAGATAGCGACAGTGTGCGAGCGAGAGGTAAATAGATGCGACGCCATTTTCAATCCCATTATTTAACCACCAACTACTACCTGAGTTATTTAGTGATTAACATTTAACTTGCCAAATGCATGTGTTAACAAGATAGTGCTACATATGATTATAATAAACGAAAATATTACTAATCCACCTGTGTGTAACATTGGATCTAATGTATTAGGGCTCCTTTCGTGTTAAGGAGTCTGGTTTGGTACCACCCTATAACGTATTCTACCGCCCAGCAGTTCTAAAGCCACTGCTGTGTATAGGTTATGAAGAGACCTAGTTAACAAGTTGTATTTTATTTTATTTTTGTACTCAAAGGCGGCAACGTGTTTGTAGTACACTTTCTTTAAAGTTGCAGGTGACAGACTGCTATAAACACATACCATGAGATCAACTGTTAGCTCTTTGGTAACTCTAATATTAAAAAAAATACAGGAAACAAGGATATGGGAGATCGGACTAACCTAAATTTAATTTCCTATTGTCCAAATGTAAAAGCCAATTATTTTATTCTGCCATACAATATATTATTCGCCTGGGAGTTCAATTCTGAAAACCTTTACGGTCCGGTGCATATGCTGACTCCAAGAAGAACTTTGCAACAGGTGCGTTGTTATTGCATTTACATTTATATATTCGTTAAATAGTGCAATGCATCTAGTGTCCACTATCTTGCTATAGAAGACAAATAAAAATATAATATATAACAAATAGTTTCGATGATTTTACATTCCAAACTGCTTACATTATTGCAATTAATACAAATTAATATTGCCAGTCTTATAACGTTTAACATTCGAATGTTGTCAGCATGGTTAAAAGGCATGCGCAAAAAGTACCAACATTCGATTACAAATTTTAGTAGACAAACATAGTAAGTATCTCACATATTTAAGTAGGCAACATTGCATCATATTGACACTAGCGTACCCACATGCGTTCTTTGACCGACAATCACGTAAAGGGATTTAAATTCTTGTCATATTCATCGTCTTCTGAGAAGGGGTTCGTGGGATCTTTCCTTCCATCTTCATCTGAGAATGGATTTTTAGTTTCGTCGTAGGTTTCGTCTTCAAATGGATTCTTGCTGGCTCCGGTGGATATTGCTGACGATATTTTGGGCGAACCACTAAGTTCTTGAATTCTATAAAAGAAAAATTAATCAAAATCATAATTTACTAATGTATATAAATTTTAATGATAGCTAAGTTATGAAAATAAATGAATTTTTATTAAATTAGGGAAAATGCTATATGAAATTGGGGTGTTTTATTATTGAGAAAATAAACAACAATGACGTATAAAAGGCTCATATAAAAATGAATTTAGGCTGTTAATACCCCATATGAAAGTGGAATAATTAGAGGGAAGAGAGGTATCTCCATAATCTTTATATATAAAAATTACGTGTCACGTTGTTTTTCGCGATGGACTCCTAAACTACTGAACTAATTTCAATGAAAGGAGACTGATACGCTTTCATACATTTTTGGGCCCAGATTGTAAAAAGATGAAAGTAGTGTAAATTAATAGCTTATATATTATCAAAACATCACAGAAAATTCTGCGGACTTCGGCAATCTGAGAGAAGAATTATAAGAGATTTAGTAAAAGTGAGGCTATGCAACAAGTTGACAAAAACCTATACTAAACAGCTGATTTTTGAAGTACGTTTGCTATTTTGAAAGGATCGTGAGCCTAGTGTATTACATCGACTAGTCGCTATGCCACAATTCACACAGCGATCCATTGAGTCACTATCTAATAGATAAAATCCAGGCCGTAAAATCCACAATAACGAGCCAAAGTCAAACGAGTAAACAAGATTATCGATGGTCGGTATGTTAGCAACGGTCGTACAAATTAAGTAAGATCAGAAGTCCGTAGAAAGAAAGCAGTGACCGAACAATATAAATCAATAAAACAACGGGAAACACTTAAACACACACGCACTAAACGATACGAAACGAGTGATCATAGATTGAGTTTAGTCAGGCAGGAGCTGTCACTATCAGCACAGATTAAAAACACAGTTGACAAAAGTAATAAATCGAACTGTAAACCTGAATCGATTTTAAGATTTATTTTTACTAAGTTGATATTATATTTTTTAAACTGTTGACACTATATTAATATACTGTAATGTATCTATTTACTTTGACTGAATTAATCACTTGATGTAAGTTGTTTTTATGTTTAATTGTTAAAACTCATTCACATTAATCGATTAAAGTAATCGATTTCCTATATTATTCCGGACAAACTTATTTTCAAGATTTCTCGTCTTCCAGATTGTAAATTGGGCAAATATTTTTATATTTTGAAATAGAAAAATGTAACGCTATTTTTAAACCATATTTCAACTTATTACAATTGGGCCCAGAAATCCCCTTCTCCTTTTGCATACTGTGTGCAGTTTCGTCCAACTTGAGAGATAGGATAGTTTTTATCCCGATAAGTGACCCTCAATTTTTTTATTGTTAATTTCAGGAGTTTTTTTTAGGAAAGCAAATGGTCGTCGGAAAGGGCAGAACGACGTCTGCCTGGTCAGCTAGTTTGTAAATAAAATTTACTTGCTTGCAGTCAGTAAATTACTGTAAAAAGATATAATAGAAACAAAGATAATGTGTATTCTCTTATATTCTTAATCAGAATGTAAAAGTCTAGCTGCAAACTTCTACCATTGTGGGAAGAAATTTCCGATCTTACCTTTGCGGCCTTTGCTCACCTTCATCAGTGTATTTTTAAATCTGGTCTTGTATATAAGAAGAGCTTAGTATAATGCCATCTTTTGACGTCCATGGGGTATATTTTGTGCATTTCCCTAGTAGCCTCTTATGATACCCACAAGACTATTATGTCGTGGATTCTCTTACGACCCCACCTCATGACAAAACAATTCTGAAAGTCTCTGAAAAGGGAAGATCTCCCGACAGGTAAGGAACGCATATATGTGGAGCTTCTTATATACATATATGAAGAGTCGTTCGGAAACTTCCATAGCGCGATTTGAACTTTGGTTATTCTTCACGATGCAAATAATAATTCTTTTATTTCAGACCTTGATCCATAAGTTGTTAGTGAATCATTGTGCACCTTAAATATTAATGTTAGTTTCTTAAATATGTATAAATACTTTTCAATACACCGTACCAGTGACGTGTTCTGCTCAACAGGGAGTTACACTCTTTTACGCATTATGGCAAAATAAAAATATAATAGCTGTTTTATCAGATGCTAACTAGGTACACTGCTTTTCTGGTCCAGAAGTTGGTCTCAGTACGTACCTCTTATGTATTTCTGCCGCCAACTAACAGTGTTTGCGCTGTTGTGTTCCGGTGTGAATGTTACACAGAGCCAGAATAATTACAGGCTACGCATCTGCCGTTTGAATCCATTAACTACAGTAGCCACTTACCATCAGGTGGACAGTAAGGTTATTTTTTTTTAAATACTAGTAATGCTATTATAGATCTCTATATAGATCATAGATTAATCGATTTTGCCCTTGAAAATAGGCGAACGATTTTAAATACTTCTTAAAAAAAAAAACGAATCGAATATAATCCTGGCAATCACCTAACGGAAAAAATAAGAACACAGGATAAATGGATTTCTTTGGAGGAGGTCTTTACCTGCAGAGGGGTTCTTGCAAGTTAGAATTTAAATTTAAATAATTAAACAAATAAGGAAATATTCAGGTTATACTATAATATCACTATAATAAAGAATATTAAATCAATTAACTTTAAATTATAAGTCATACTGTAAAGTTGAAACAATATTTTTTTTCCTTGTCTAGTTTTTTGATTATGCAAGAAATAAAAGGGTTTTTTATTTTTATTTTTTTTATTTAATGCTATTAAACATTACTAATATTCCCTTTAACCACTTCTGGTAAGCTTAAAATGCTTGTGTTAGAAGAGGTTCACGACAGTAGTCGAATGGCGGATTCGAACCCACGACCTTTCGAGTTCGCGGTTCGCACCCTGCCATTAGGCTACTGACGCTTTTCATTTGTCATTTTAGTTTTATTAAAAATGTTTAGATGGGTAGGTAGCACTTACTTTTTCCTAGCAGCCGTCGGCGATGTATACGGCGACGGCTTGGCATGAACTTTAGGTTCTAGCTTGGTCATATTGGCTTCCAGACTAGACGCGTACTGCTGTTGTTCCATTAGACGCATTCTTCCTTCTGGCACTGGGATAACGGCAGTACCTTTCGGTGCCATTTGTTTTGTTGTATTTGGAACGAATACTGTAACAAATGACTGTTTGAGTACTCATACTCATTCCATCTCAGTTTCTTATTCCTTGGGTGAATTCCTTATATTAAGTTGGCTGCAGGCTTCAGATCAATATGTTTTATTGATCGATCTAATATTAAAAAAAAGAACACGTAGAAACTATAAATACTACTAAATATATAAGCAGGAACAGTCGCGATTTAAGTACTCGGGTCAATATTCGAGTACTATCATAATCATCAGTCAATAAAAGAAATATGATCTGCACGCCCTTTCCATTGTGTTTTAGTAGGTTTTACCATTTTTACTATATTTGTCATGATACCAGATAAAATGAACCAAAATACAACGCGTCCCTTGTAGTTTTAAATTGAATTATTAATTAATACTTCATGTACTTTTAAACTACACGATCTGGACTTAGTCCACCTGATTCGTCACATCTTACCAGTGTCAAACACGGTAAGATTTGATACGCGTAAAGTGAAGTGTTTGTATGTACGAGTAGTAGAGCCACGCTGGTGCGTGTTACGACTGCAGCAATAGTGCTTCGGCTCGACCGGAGAACAAGTACGGTTACACAGAATACCAAGCGAGAAATAATAGCAAGATACTGCTGAGTTTAGACTTTTTAATGCATTGGAATAACCTTAAAATTCCCTATCTGGAATTCATATAATTTAATTTTTCCTCGTTTTATATAACGCAAAACAAATGGCAATTTTAGCGATTAAACAATCCGCAGTATGTGAGATGCATTTTATAGCACAGTCGAGATTATTGCCAGCCACGAAATGTTATAGAAATCACAGTGCCTTAAAGTATAGCAAAAATAAACATGTTAGTTTCTTTATTATATCGTCTTACGAAGAAATGCATATATTTTAATCCACAGTAAAGATATTCACCTGTATTTTAGCTTTTAAAGTATTTTAATATTAATAAAAACTTCTTCGTTTAAACGTATTAAGAATATTGAAGTTACATTCATGAATAACACTTTGAAGCTGCTGCTGATTACCTATCTATTTGATATCAGTGAAACTAATTTACAACTGTCAATTATCATAGCAATACACCAGAATCCCATTTAATATTTAGTAAGGTGACGCATTTACTATTGTAATATCAACCGTTACTGTAACATCACGTCAAAAGATAATACTTACACGTAATGAAAATTAGTTACAAGTTAACTTACTTATTATAATAACTTTTCATATTCTTGTTTACTTAGAAGGGTGCATCCGAGTTTTTAACATTTCCTGTAGCTATATTAGCAATAACCTTTTATACATGTTTTTTTTTACTTGGTAGGACCAAGATGCAGCTGCGTTATTTGCTGTAGCACAAAATAGGGAGCTTAATGCCGATGTGGTTCGTTTGATGAGTGACGATAATCGGAAATATTTTCTTATTGGTGACGAGGCATTGGCCATGTGGGCGTAAGCGTCTTATTCACGGTCCATATTGTTTGTCGTACGTGAAAAGTCTATTCAGTCATTGGCGGGACATACAGCTAGATGGACCGTGAATAGGACGATATAGTTAATTTCTTATTCTAGGTTAGACGTAGATGTCTATAGGCTACAACATCAAATTGCCTTAAGGTGGGCTGTGTGCTCATTTGTGAGTTTCTTGTAAAAATTATAGAACGAGACAGCAAGCGCAGTGTAAAGCGACAAGCGAGATAGATAAAGTGTCTAGAGAAATGTACTTGGCTAAAGCCCATGCTTTGTGACAGTCTTTGAGGGAGGCCTGTTTGAGTTAAACTGTGGACTGTGATGGTCGCGACGATGATTATGGCGATAAAAAAACTTAAGATGTAATTACTTGCAAGAATATATTATCCGAGTATTGTTTTAGATCTCTTGGTGTCACAATAACCACAAAGACATAGGCGGACTACTCTTTTTCTTTACCTTTTTTTAATAGCCCGCAAGTCTACAGTTGGAGAGAGGTATCTATGATATGATTTGCGGTAGTGACCACATTTGTCGGATAGATTGGAGACAGCAGTAACAGCTGATGCCTATCGCGTGAAAATTGATTATAAAAACTAAAGATATGAGATAACCCTGGCATTTTTTATGTTTTCTTTTTAAAAACGTTACCCCAGTTTACAAACATAAAGTGCACAAGGACAAACATCCAGACCCGTAACAATTATTTGTAGGCCATACAAATAGGTACTTGTTCCGTGCGGGATTCGAACCCGCGGCCCCCAGCGCAACAACTCATTGCTAAGCCACTGCGCTACGGAGCCGTCAATTTTTACTACGTGATAGCACTTTTTATACCACTTTTTATTGGGTGGGTCCCTCTTACCTCTTTGCCGCCACATGCCAGTTCATGCACTGGTGTGTTCCGGTATGAACGATATAGAGCCAGATAATTACATATTTTATACGTGGTAGTACCACGCTGCAGCCATTTTACGGTTCTAGCACGAATGGGTCGGCTCGACTGGGTTGGACCACGCTCTCGCAGAATACCAGCACAAAATAGGAGCTTAATGCTGTGTTTCGTATGGTGAGTGTAGATAAACGAAGACCTATTTTACTGGAAACGAGGAATTCCATCTCAATCCTGTGGTGACAACGCATCTGCATTTTGATTCTTAATCGAGGATAGATGTAGATGTCTATGGGCCACAGCAACCACTTACCATCAGGTGGACTGTGTGCTCGTATGTCACTTTTATTCTATAAATAAAACAGACTGTGAAGCATTATATCTTAGTCCTCAGAGCTGACAACGTATGTATAGCCTTCTTTGTTTGAAGTTGGCTCCAGGTGTCCACGGAGTGTGGTAGCCACTTACCATCAGGCCGACGGTAAGTCCATTTGTCACTTCAGATTTATATATATAACTAGCTGTTCCCAGCGACTTCGCCCGCGTGTAATTTAAGGTTTTAATTATATTGCGCGGAACCCTAATTCTTTTTCTAAAATATAAGTGGCCTAAGTTACTCCTTATAACATCAGCTATCTGCCAGTGAAAGTCCCATCGAAATCGGTCCAGCCGTTTCGGAGATTAGCCGGAACAAACAGAGAGACAGACAGACCGACAGACAGACAAAAATTTTAAAAATTGTGTTTTCGTTATAAATACCGTATATACATTCATATGCATTTAGTAAAAAAGCTGTTATTTTAATATTACAAAGAGACAATTCAATTTTATTTATTTGTATAGATTTAAAATTAAAAATTTTGTACAACCGACTTCAATATAAATGATTAAGAATAACTCAAAAACTATTGGTCAGACCTTGATCAAATTGTGATTATGTGGGACCATGTTTGAAGCACCGGCATTTAAATAAAAAAAAATCATCGAAATCGGTTCAACCAGTAAAAAGTTATGAGGTAACACTCATAAAAAAACATAAAGTCGAATTGAGTACCGTCTCCTTTACGAAGTCGGTAGAAAATTCTCATAATCAGCTCACAATTCCATGAGTCAAGATGGTGTAACAAATTCTCTTCCACCGATATGTCAAGACAACAGTACACTATACCTTGCTTGCTCTGTCCTTCTTGTAGCCGTAGTTTAGCTTCGGCTCCCGGGCCGTACGTCTGCTGCGTTGGAGTGGGGGCGGGCGCGGAAGCGGAAACCGAAGCGGGGGCGGGAGCGGACGCAATAGTGTCCTGCGAGCTCCCCGTCACCACTGTTAGCTTGTTGAACAGACCACGCCCGAAGTACTCCGATACCACTGCGTATCTGTGAATTTTTAGTCCACTGCTGAACATAGGCCTCTCCATTGATTTTTTCATATTGGGGATATTTGACGTAGTCCCGTTTTTTATAGAATAAGGGTGACAAAAGAGCACACAGTCCACCTGATGGTAGGTCGATGCTGTGGCCTATAGACATCTACATTTATCCTCAATTAAGAAACAAAATGTAGATGCGTTGTCACCCCCGAGGTCTGAGATGAAATGCCTTCTTTCCAGTAAAAGGGTCTTCTTTCAGACTTCGATTCCACGATTTAGCGATACCACAGTTAGACGCTTAGCAATTACGCAACCGAGCCGTAAATACTTTAAAGACCATTGATATGAAACCATGTTCAATCTTCACGCGAACAAGCAAAACTTTAGCACTTAAAATTTAATTTAACAAGTACAGTAGAGTCGGCGTGAATCGAATTCTGGATCTAGTGCAAAATGCAACCAAGCCCGTGAGCTACTATGCATCTATCTGCATCACAATACCGGAATAAACTTCTAGAAAATTGTTCGCGCCCACAAATATTTTCGAACAATACACATATTTTTCAGTTCGATCGTCACAGCCTCGTTCGGTTGTTAGCAGGGTGGGCCACAAAGTGAACATATAGAAGTAACCATTATATTATTACCCTGTACAATACAAATAGATACTTAAAAATTAAAAAAAAATGTCATGGAAAAAGTAAATTATAAATCATTCACACCATGACATTAAAATCAACATGCATTGCTATTGTTATCAGCAATGAAATTGAATCGAATTAAAATTATACAATCGTATAATTTTTTTCACTTTTTTAAAGAACACGACAGTACCTAGATTTTATGCTATTTTTAATTGCCGTATTCAATTCGCAATAAAATAGATTATGAATTATCTTAATTCAAGATATTTTAAAATCATTACCCAACGTGGCGGTCGGAGACAGTGTTTTGAAAACACCAAGAAAATGGCGGAATCATAACAAACCAATTAACGGACACTAAAACTTAACACATCTTTGTTGATAATAGTTAACTATGGTTGATAACGTTTGTAGCAAAAATTAAAAAATAATGAAACGTGTTCACACTATGGCCGTCACGAGTCACACTGACTAATTACACAAAGCTCGAAACACAAATAAGCATTATTGTGATTGTGAATCGCCGTGTGTTGTCGCTGTAAGACATTCATAATGACATTGGTGTTGTGAAAGTCAACTAAGGCTGATATTCTGGTGGTTTTCGGCAGTTGACTGATTTACCAAGCGAATAAACCAGTCCTAAGCCTAGAATCTGTACAGATGTAAGCAGTACTTTGAAAGCGTGTTTAAATACGAGGAGGAATCTGAACTAAATGAAATAGAAACTCCGAAAAAAAAAAGCAATGAAATAATGAAAGTAATAAAAAGCATGAAAGCAGGCAAGGCATCGGGTATAATAAGTGTCAATAGAAATGCAGAAGATGTGAGGGAGTGGTGGTAAGCCTGCTGTTCATTTTCATTAATTTGCGCTGAAGGAACTTAAGCAGGTACCGCGAGTTCAGGCACTAAATAAAGGTTCGTAGCATAGCAGAACTGTAGAAACTAACGGAATCAGCCTGCTCAGTGTAAGAATAGAAAGGTAGTTGCAAACTTATCCAATTGCTCAAAAGACATGACAAGGATATAGCGAGCAGTGAATGCAGGACGCAAAGTGAAGATTTGTACGTGGTAGAGCCCTGCTGCAGCTACATTAGTAGTATAGTTATAGCACGAATGGGTCGACTCGACCGGGGAATGACCACGCTATCACAGAATACCAGCGTAAAATAGCAGCTTAAAACTGCTGTGTTTTGTATTGTGAGTGTAGAGAACCGGAGACCCTTTTAACTGGAAAAGAGGCAGTCCTAGAGGTAGTCTTAGTCCTCACGGGTGACAACGCATCTGCATTTTGATTCGCAAACGAGGATAGATGAAGATGTCTATGGGTTACAGCAACCACTTACCATCAGGTGGACTGTGTGCTCGTTTGTCACCCTATACTATAAAAAAAGGCTCTTTCTTCTCTTTATTGTGGGAAGTCAGGATGCGTAAAATAGGCACAAAATCCGATACAAAATGTTGTGTTAGTCCTTATTTTAAAGTCTAAAGGAGAAACAAGAGTGTGGTTTGCAAAAGAAATATCTAGGACTAGCTGTTCTGAGTGACTTAGCCCGCGTGGAATTGATTACGATTGGATTTTATGTTTTTTTTTGTTGCGCGGCACCCTAATTCATTTTCTAAAATAAAAGTAGCCTAAGTTACTTCTTATAACATAAGCTATCTGCCAGTGAAAGTCCCGTCCAAATCGGTCCAGCCGTTTCGGAGATTAGCCGGAACAAACAGACAGTCAAAAATTTTACAAATTGTGTCTTTGTTTTAAGTACCGTATATACTTTCATATGCATTTTGTAAAAAACTGTTATTTTAACATTACGAACAGATACTTCAATTTTATTTATTTGTATAGTAGATATAGATATATTATATACCATACATATTATATATGAAAAGCAATTTATAACATAAATGGTAATTAAAATATATAATAATAATAATGTTCTCAATTAACCTCGAAAGTATAGACAACAGTATTTTATAAAAAAAATTAAAGTCATTCTTAACTGGTAAAAGTTATTATAATTTATGTGAATTCTTTAAAGATGGGAATAAATAGTAAATGTATGTGTAATAATTATAGAGAATAATAAGTTAGACTTGTAATGATAGCGAATATATTCGCTGGTATTTAGTAGTAGTTAATATTTAGTATTTAAAATAAAAACTACCCTCTTATAAATTGCTATGCCCCTACGGGGCATCACATCATTTATAATGTATTTCTTGTGACATGCAAATTATATAAATAAATGTATATAGTAATGTTTCGGTAGACCCGGTAGCTTATAGCTAAGCATATGGCTGCCACGCAGCAAGTCGCGGACCGCGTAATGACTATTGCGATTTATGTACTTACTAATATAATGAATTCAAGTAACGTCAAACGCCTCCACGCTACAGGAAGTGGCACTAACGTTCTTTTAAAAAAAAATCAAACGAAAAGAAGATTATTTAATTTATCATTAATTTATTTGATCTTTGCATGGACTCGGCACTATTTTATATTTACGAGGGTGGATTGAAAAGTACTCGGCCTAACACAGATCCATTCAATTCTAAAAATCAAATCTCCCCACATTATTTAGTTCAGTTCAGACTAGTTCATTGTGTGAAGTTCGAAACGTGTGCGATAATTAGTTGTGATTTTATAAATTTATTAACAAAGTAATCGGACATAATTTCCGCGAATGGAGCAAATCGAACAGCGTGCCGTCATTAAGTACCTCCATAAGAAGGGGCTATCATCAAAAGCCATCCATGATGACATGGTCAGTACATTAGGCGATTGTGCTCTGTCATATTCATCCGTCAAAAAATGGATAGCAGAATTTAAGCGTGGTAGAGGAGTGTGAAAGATGAACCCCGCTCTGGAACGCCTTCGACGTCAACTACTGACGAAAATATTAAAAAAGTACTTGATTTAATAATGGGAGACCGCAGATTAAAAATTAGAGAGATAGCCGAGATTATAGGCATCTCTTATGAATGAACTCAAAACATCATTGTCAACGAGTTGGGTTTCCACAAGGTGTCTGCGAGGTGGGTTCCGCGACTGCTTTCAGTTGAACAAAAAAGGACGCGATTGACTATTTCACGCGACTGTTTGGAGTTATTTGAAGCCGATGCAGATGATTTTTTGAATCGTTTTGTTACTATGGACGAAACATGGGTCCATTACTGTACACCGGAAACAAAACAACAATCAAAACAGTGGAGAAGACCTGGTTCACCACCCCCTTAAAAGGCTAAGTCGATTTTGTCGGCAAATAAGGTGATGGATTCAGTTTCTGGGACTCGAAAGGTGTGATTATGATTGATTATCTTGAAAGGGGTCAGAATATAAACTCTGATTACTACTGCACCTTACTACGTCGTTTACGAGAGGAAATAAAAGAAAAACGTCGAGGAATGCTCAGAAGAAAAGTCCTGTTTCATCAAGATAACGCCCGTGTTCACACGTCAGTACAGTCAATGGCTGAAATTCACAACTGTGGCTTTGAACTGTTACCGCATCCGCCGTATTCACCTGATCTGGCACCATCAGACTTCTTTCTGTTCCCTAACCTAAAAAAGCACTTGGGAGGTCAAAGATTTTCGACAAATGACGAGGTCAAAGCAGCTGTAGACGCATATTTTGACTCTAAGGAAGAATCATTTTTTTTCAACGGTCTAAATGCTTGGAAGGGGAGGTGGCAAAAGTGTATTGAACTTGATGGTGATTATGTAGAAAACTAAAAATATAACTGATTTAGTATGTGTTTATTTTCTTGGTTAGGCCGAGTACTTTTCAATCCACCCTCGTAGTTTCATTTTTGGCCATTTACGAACACATTAGGTGCCGTCAAAATTACTGCGTTGAATTAAAGTAGAACTATAAATATTAAGTTAAAAGTTAAGTGCCATGGTTGCAATCTATTATGTTTTATTTCATGCTAGTGGTCGCACAATGGTCGAAATTCAACCGTAATTTATAAAAATTTTATGTTTGTATGTTAAGCAAGCTGTATATATATTTCAACTGCACATTAGTACAGGTCCCGTCACGTAAAAAGAACGCTGAGCGACAGTGAAGGGAGTGTGCCTGCGCATGGGTACAGTCGCGTTCTAAAGTACTACATGATACTAGACTATTGGTTTATAATATAATAGTAATTAATTATTTTATTGTAGAATCATAATAGGTACTTTACTAGCTACTTAGAACTTTGGATGAGGTTGGAATTAAAAATGGATAATGTTTACTTGAGCATTATTTTTTATAAAATAGTTTGTAACAAGAAAACTTAAGCTAAGGGTGACACGCCGTTCATTATATCGTCTTGGGTCACATGGAAGCCAGATGTCGATGGTGTGTTGGTGTTACTGGATGCTACTTCATCATCATTTTCATCTTCGCTTGAGCTTCCGTCATCAGAATCATCTTCACCAATGCAAATGGTAAATGTTTCCGTCATCAGGTCGACCACATGGTAATTTTTTCGGTATTCTTCCTCAATACTTTTAACTTTACTGAACAATTTTCACCATTCACCTTCTCCCATCATATTTAACTTTTCGTTCACTAGTTCAGTCATAAAATAATACATATAAATAATTCTTCTTTCCCTCCTTTTTAAAAGCATCGTTGCGAGTCCTGCAAAGAAAGCTGTGTGTGCGACTGTATTTTGGGAGTGAACAAAGTGCGGAAAGCATGAGAAACCAATAGCATGCGCGTACAGTAATACTGGCGAGCATTCCCCGTCGCGCCCCCTTCGTACGACCAATTTGATCGATAAATCGCTCAGTGCGCAGGTTTAAGGCCAGCCTTCTTTTTACGTGACGGGACCTATATATACAACTGCATATAGTATGTTACACAGATATCTTATATACAAAATATAAAATAAACGCTTTTTTGCCTTGACATACACTCCATACTATTGAAAAAGGAACATTAAAAATCACACAAAATTCAGTCAATCTGTCAGTAATTAATTGTTGGGAATAGACTATTATGTATTTGACATTGGCAGTATGAATTTTAAATATTATTAGAAATATTATTTTTAGATTAAGTTAAAGGCAGAATGTTTACATAAGACACAAACGTTTTCGCCTTTTATTTATTCGAATGATAATATTTACACAGGTGACTGTCATCTATGAAAGATAAATATATAAAAGTATTTCAATATAAAAATAAGTACTGAACGCCTCGTTGAAACTTACAGTAATTTTGATAATAATTTACACTATATCCACCCCGTCATTTAGACTATGTGGTAGTACTCTTTAGATTTAGAAGCAGGGAAGTCCGCTCAGCTGCCACAACGCGTACATAATATAATTTCAAAACATTTTCGAAATTTCGCAGTTACGCAGTTTTCCTTCCAGCAGGTGGTAGGACTTCTGGTCTGTCTAGGAGTCCATCAAGTTACCCTCTTAAGCACGCTTTTCACTATGGGATATAATATAATATATATTACATCTCGAGATATAAATTAATATCGCTCACCAAACATTTCATATGAAACCGTTTACACTGAGCTATAATATATATTACATCTCAAGATATAAATATTTTTTCGATCGACCGAGCGATATTTTCATATTATATTTCGCCCCCTGTATCCCGCACACCGTTTCGCGCCCCCGCAGAACGGTGTACAGGGTAAAGGGGGGTAATCCAATGACCAATGACGAACGCACACTGGTTAAAAGATACATCTCACAGTGTGAAAGCCAATCGCGGGATATAATATATAATATTATATATAATATTATATCCCATAGTGAGAAGCCAGCCTTACTGATTTCTGTTGGCAAATAGCAGGGCCTACATATATGTATGTCATCTGCTCTGAAGAGTATGGAGAGCTTGTATAATCACAGGCTGTGAGGCATTCCATCTTAGGCCCATATTAATAAACGTTACTCAACAACGAACTCAAGTGCGTAATCATTTGATACGTCCTCATTACGATATCAGCATCTCAAGATCGTTGCTAATTAATAAACACATGAAAACAGTATCTCAAAACACTGTACTTAGGAATACTGTTCTGTGACTTGAACTCAAGTACACACACTTGAGAGTCGAGTGTCGGTTATTAATCAGTGTGGCACTCAGATGATATCGTAAGCCTAAACCGCATCTTGAGATATGTTTATTTATAAGATCATAACCTCGAGATTGTACTCAAGTGCGTGTACTTGAGCTGAGTAACGTTTATTAATACGGGCCTAAGTCTACAGGGTTGACAAGCCCTGTAGCCTTCTTTGTATGAAATTGGCCGCAGGTGTCTATGAACTGCAGTAGCCACTTACCATCGTAGCCACGTACTTACGGGTCGTGTTCCTTGTGCAGTCGCGAGTGCAACGTTTCAGCAGTTTGTGGTGGCGGTTCGTTGCGCTGTTTCGGCTGCGAGCACGCCGGGCATTCGCATTCCGTCTCCGAGAAGCTTTGGAAGCAGCTGACATAAAAAAAATATTTATTACATACACATGTGGGTATATATAATGTATGTGTTAAAGATTTTGCTCGATGAACTAGTAAATCTAGGTTTATCAGCTCTTTTTAGGTAAAGTCCGATTAAAATAATTATGTCTTCTGTGTGATAGCACACAGCTAGTAATGTCAATGAATATAGGTTAAGATGCGGCTGGTGTGGCTCAAGGGCCGCAATTATTTATGCAATTTCATCATAGAAACAAACTAACAGGTTACAACAGTAATTTAAAAAAGCCGACTGAGTAAAAAAAGTTTACTGAAAAGAGAATATTTTTATACCCTTTGTCACTTCCACAACTAAGACGAATCTAACGAAATAAATAAACCTACATACATACATACTCTCGAAAAATGTTATCTTACTTTTAGGACAGTCGGGTATTAAACGACAGGCAGTTAAGGGAGCGGACTACATATTCGGAAAGTCGTGGGTTGGGATCCGCTATTTGGCCTGCGGTAAACCACTTATAAAACAAGCAGTAGCGAAAAGTATCGGATAAACCTATATTTATCCGTTCTTCGGGCATTACACATGACATATACGAGTACACATATATAAGAGGAGGCATAATTACTGCGAAGATTTTGAAGCAGCGAAAACCGCTCAGCTACCACAATGCGTACATATATTCTTGAAACATTTTTTGAAATTTCGCAGTTACGCATTTTCCTTCCAGCATGTGGTTAAAAAAAGCATAAAACTGCAACAAGCAATTTCCGCCAGCACACAACAGCCAGCGGGGAAACCATGTTGCTTGGGTAGTGTGATATTTGCGTCGAGTGCTTGTTCTCTGTGGTGCCACGGCCCTTATATAATTTTACTATCCAATAAAAACCTAGGCCTTTGCAATATTTTGCATACGGATGCTCCCATTTTTCTTCACACTTCTTACACCTATAATGACGAACAATATAATATAATATAAGAACGACAGACGAAAAATATACTAAACATATCTGTACATATATCTGTAATTTCTCGCCCAATTGTTAAGTGCTGGTGAAGTGCGGTTAACTGTTTGCCTATTATCCTTTTGAATCTCCTAAACTTTCATACACAATGATGTTGAAGAACTTAATTGCTAAATTTGTACATATACTTACTGCTGATGGAAAGAGTGCTGACAGAAGAAATGAACAGTGGGCAACTCCAAGGGTCTATTGCACGCCGCGCATCTCGAACTTTGGAAAGTGATAGGCTCATTTTGAATCACTTGTATGTGCGCTTTCATTTTCTCAGTCTCACTTTTGTATTTTGCTGCCAGTTCTTGTTCTCTGTTTATCACTTCTTCCTCAGATTTTAAAACGTCCATGAGGTATCTAAAAATAAAATAACACTAAGAAATATCTAACGCATATAACTAATGTAGCTTCAACATAAACTCAGACCACCTGACGATAAGAGCAGGCAGTTAGTAACCCATATGTCACATTATCGGTTGTTTCGTTTACTCAATTCTAGGTTGCGGTGATGTCCCGCGTCGATTTTCGGCTGTAGTTACCATTTGAACGATTAGTATCTTTCTATCTTTGAAACGAGCGGACGAATTAATCGAAGAACAGTAGAGAGAGAGCGAGAGCGAGAGAGAAAGAGAGAGAGAGAGAGCGAGAGAGAGAGAGAGAGAGAGAGAGAGAGAGAGAGAGCGCGGTAAGACGAATTCTCTTCACTTCTTTCTCACAGAGAAGATTATGACTGACTTTCTCACTTTCTAATATACAACTGTATGACAATACTGCAAAGGCCGACAATGCCATTTTCTGTTCGAAACACTAATGTTATATTTTACATATACTCTAATATCTAAGTTTACGTGTTTCAAAAGGTGTTCAAATCGGATATCAAATAATATATATCACAAACGTTACTCTACAGTTGCGGCGTCATTACCTATTCATTCCGTGGGTTTTGTAACATGCAACAGAGGGAAAGACAACAGGAGATTGGCAGCCGCATTCAACTGATAACAACTCAAAATAATAAAATACTGCGCTTGCCAACTCGGTTGCCAAGTGTGGCAAATGAGAAAATCTATGTGGATGACCAGCAATGAACTTTTGAGAGGCTGTAACAAATGAAAAATAATGAATTACATACGAATCTGACGGAGACAACCTAAAAAAAATATGGTTTTTCCTTCTTGGTCTACAGGCAATGAAACGGAATTAGAAGTGATCCTGATTCCGGAAGATATTTGCCATATTTGCCGCGCTTGACAGTCGAGTGGGCCACCGCAGTTTTTTTTGTAGTTATGGGACACTGATGACCAGGTTCTCCAGGTTTGTTTCCCTTTGCCGTCCCTTACGATACCCACGGGACGAGATAGAGTAGTTAGTAGATATTCTTACAGAGCCATTATGCGGTCAACATCTACACGTAACGTAATGCACGTAAATGTCCACAGCTGGACAAGCATTAGCCCGTAAATGTCCACAGCCGGGCAAGGGCCTCTTTTGTTGTAGCGAGGATCTGCCATAATGACCACACTTAGCAGCGGATTGGTGATCGCAGCATCAGACGTCTCGCACATTCGACGCTACTCCCAATCGCCTTTGCCGGGGTATTTGAATCTGGCGTCAACCAGATGGTTGTACTACTCTCTGCCGGGAGCCATGAGATTTTTCACAGAGCACTCCGAGATTTAAAATTACGCTTTAAAATTAGGGGATGAAGTTTTTAATATAACTATTTAGATGACAATCTAGCTGTTATCTTGAGTTGTGATATTTCTTAGCCCACACAAAAGGATCAAAAAATTAAACTTTAAAAAAATCCGGTCAACTGGCGCATAAAGGGTTCCGTACCATCACACACGTAGATATGGGAGCCCCCTTTAATATTAACTTATTTTTGTTTTTATTATGTTGTTATAGCGGCAACAGTAATACACATTCTGTGAATTTTAACTGTCTACCTATTACGGTACATGAGATACAGCCCGCTGAAAGACAGACGGATCGACGGGCGGACAACGGAAGCTTTACTAAGCTGCCCTATTAATTACTATAGGGTCCCGTTGGTTACCCTTCGGGTACTGAACATTAAAAAGAAATAGCCGAATTCACAGAACTAAAATTATAGAATAATCTCTACATTGGTTCTGAATCAGGGCTTAAATTCTTTTATACACTATGTCTTGGTAGTGACTTTAGAAATTATTTTAATATTTTTAGTTCTATGAAGTTCGCTTTTCCTTTTTATTAAAAGTTTTATCTCTCACTTACGTCATTTAAAATAATCACTCATCTTACGAAAAATGATGGTGAAAATTATAGTGTTAACGCAATCTTATTCTGTGATAACCCATGAGCGCATTATGTATAGACTTACTTGCGTACATCTCCAAGTGTGTATGACTGAGAGCTGGCAAGGCAGTCAATCACTAGAATAGGCGATAGAAGTTTCTCTGTGGCTGCAATAGAAAATAAACCATTGATCGAAGCTGTTCACCACTACATTAATTTTAAATATATCATAATGAGGAAACGTGAGAAATAAACTTGCAAGCAATCAGCTTGTCCACGTACTGTGTTGTAGGTCATACGTCCCGATCCTTAACTGGCTTATAACGGGTGGGCCAGAAAGGAGTACGATTTTAAAAACACTCTTGCGTTTGAAGCTTTAGAGAAGGGACTGCGCGGGTGGTGGGGTTAAGTAGGTCGGTTCTCGGAAATTTAGTCGCGATGGATCACTTCACGGGAGCGCAACGTGCATTCTGCGTTAAACATTATTATAAAAATCACGATTCGTGCGCTATTGTTCGGCGTTTATTTCGACGTGAGTTTGGATTACATGATCTAAATCAGTGTCCAAAGGAAAGCGTGATTCGATCGTGGGTCAGAAAGTTCGAAGCTACTGGTTCGACTCTCAAACAGAAGCCTGCGGGACGCCCAAGGTCAACAAGAACGGAAGACACAATTGAACAAGTTAGAGCTTCAGTTCAACGTAATCCTGCTCTATCGACTCGAAAGCGTTCAGCCGAACTTGTGGTGTCCAGAACATCTTTGCGTCGCATTTTGTTGAAAGATCTGAAATTGCATCCGTATGAAATTCAACTTGTGCAGGAATTACAGCCAAATGATCCAATTTTAAGGAGAACTTTTGTTGAAACAATGCTGGAACGCTTTCGGAGTTTCAACAATATTCTGTTCTCCGACGAAGCCCATTTTCACATAAATGGGCAGGTGAATAAACAGAATTGCCGTTACTGGGCTGCAGAGAACCCACGTGCGAAACATTAAAAGCCTCTACATTCGCCGAAAGTAACCGTTTGGGCGGCCATGTCAGCGCACGGAATTATCGGACCCCACTTCTTCAAAAATCAACAAGGCCAATCTGTCACTGTAAATTCTGACCGATACATAGCCATGTTAAGGGATTTTTTATTTCCACAACTGCAACAATTTGAAGCCTATAATCGTGCGACATGGTTTCAACAAGATGGCGCGACATGCCACACAGCTAATGCCTCTTTGGCGGTCGTAAACGAGATGTTTGGTGAGAAACTGATATCGCGCCGGGGTGACATTGAATGGCCTCCTAGAAGTCCGGATCTTACACCACTGGACTATTTTGTGGGGATACCTAAAAAGTAGAGTCTACTCCAATAACCCAGCCACAATTGACCAGTTGAAGACCAATATCCGGAAAGAAATGGCAGATATTCCCCGTGCAATGTGCCAGCGAGTTTTTACCAATTTGAGGTTCAGATTCGAAGAATGTTTGCAGCGCGATGGTGCACATCTGGATGATGTTATTTTTAAGAAATGAATTTCCCAGATGTAAATTTTTGTAGAAATAAAAATTTGTATGTGAATTGTACTTAGTTTTTTTTTTTAATGATTTTTTCAAATTCGCAATTCTTTCTGGCCCACTCTGTATGTGAAGAAATTATTTACCTTTGGCTCCTGAGATACAGTTTCACCAACAGTAGGAGCCATAGATAATATTAATTATTATTTAATAATTTGGGTTTGGATGTATATCTAGGTTACTGCTTCCGAACCATTTTTTTTAATAAAATAAGTAGCACACCGATCACGTGATATTATTAATAACTAACATAACAAACAGCACGCTGCCTTATACAACACGTAACATAATTAACGCACATCCTGAAAGTAGTTTGTTCAGAATCGTTTACTGAATCAATTTCTATCATTTTTAATATAGGTAATTTTTTATCCCAAAAATAATTGAAAATTGTAATTTACAGTCACACTAATCCTGTACAGTCAAAACAAACTGAATTGGACCGTAAATCAAGGCAATAAGACTTTTAAAAATTTTATTACAGTTTTATTTGTATTAATACTAATTTCGTCATTCAATACAAAATAACGAAAATTGAACCTTATTTCAAGTATATTAAAGTCTTTACAAATACAGAGTTTGGAGTGACTTATAAAGGTCACAGCGGCCAGGCCATTGACCTCTCAGATCAGCTGATTTGACGCCTCTTGACTTTTTTTTATGGGGACGTATAAAATCATTAGTTTATTTTAGTGATACAACAAATGCCGAGGACCTAAAAATTGGATAGTGAACGCTTTTAGAATAGTGAAAAATGACACTGAATTGCTTTTTAAATTATTTGTAGGCCATACAAATACTTGTTCCGTGCGGGATTCAAACCCGCGGCCCTTAGCGCTGCAACTCAATTGTTAAGCCACTGCGCCACGGAACCGTGGTGGACATTTTGAAAGTGTATTAAAATACAACGTTGCATGAGATTTTAGGCTATCAGTAAGTTAAATATTTGATGCTTAAAATTATTGTAACCTTGAATGAATCTTTTAAGCACGCCGTTTTTGAATCATGTTGTCGTATTGCCTCTTATTTTTAGCAGTTCATTATTATTTACAATTAGGTACAATTAAAATGTTATGCAAATTCATAACATTTTGTAACGAATATGCCTATTGACATTGTATCATAATCAATAAACAAAATTATTCAGAGTCGAAAGTCCAAAGCCTGAAAAGTGTGATAGAAAGATGCAATCAAATGTTTACTAGACTTAAATAAACAACTCAATGCACGGAGTTCTGACATATGTTAATGTTCATAGGTAGGTATTTCTTTAACGTAACTAATCATGTATTGTCGGCTTTTTCGGCACTAATACCTACCTACAGTTGTGTCAAGCGGCGGCGGCGTTACCTCGTCTCGAACGCGAGCGAATACCTACTAGGCTAGCAAGACCTATACCTAGCGTTCGTGGTTTTGTACGGTGACCAGAACATTCTTTCGGAATTAGTATAATTAATTTAATAAATAATCAATGCATAAACATGTCTAACTAAGAATTCAGGGTGTGTATTATGATTATAACATAATATAATAATTGGGGTGTCTGAGGATGTGCGTTAATTACGTTAGATGTTGTATATAATAAAGAATAAAGTTCAACGTTTATCTTTTATGGTGCAGATTCGCTTACCAAATACTAAAATACACAAGCGATGCGCCAGCTGCGCGACTAACCATTGTAATCGGTACCTCGACATCATTTTGAGTACTGTTACAATGGGTTAAAGTTCAACTTACCGGCGACTCGCAGCGGCTCGGGTAGACAAGCCGCAGGGGGAGAAGCACGCAACATGTCACGCCACAGCTGCGGACATGCGGCTCCACGTCGTCTACACACTTCCAACGCCGATTCCGCTGCGCCACTCCGTAAATGTAATGCTAGAGTTTCGCGCCATCTAACAACGCAACAAGCTTGTTTATTACTCATGTTATGGGCAAATTGACATAATTTCAATAAATTTCTATGGGCTGTCAAAATAATATTCCATCGCAGTAAAAGACGTCATCCATTTGGCGGCGGCCTAACTATCCATAACTCCATTTTGTCACGGGTGGTGTAATAAGCGACTATAGGAATACCCATAATCGTATTGCTTTCGATGAATGGCGAACAACCATCTCCACATCAGTCATAAAATACCCAAACCGGAGAAGGACGGCCTTAAAGATGCGAGACGTTTGTTACTGTGATAGCCCATTTGCCTGCCAAGCGTGAAACGGGAGAGAACCATGTTCATCAGTGTACTTTAACGGGCTGACGATGATGGTGAGGTGACGTCATAGTTTCTTGTACTCAAAAATATTATTGGTATACTTATAATAAAAGAAAGATTTAAGATAAAAAGAAAAACCGACCAATTTTCAAGTGACAAATTCTTATCATTTGATGTAGATTAGATTAGTAGATTTACTCGCTTTATCTAATATACTATTTATGTTACTACTTGTATTTTTATATTTTTTTATAGGAGAGGGGGCAAACGAGCATGCGGCTCACCTGATGGTAAGTGAATGCCGCCGCCCATGAACAACTGCAACACCAGGTGAATTACAGATGCGCTGCCGGCCTTCCGGCCTTTTAAAGAAGAGTAGGCTTTTTTTCTTGAAGGTCCCTAAGTCGTATCGATCCGGAAAAATCGCTGGTGGTAATCGATTCCACAAGGAAGTTGTGCGAGTAAGAAAACTTCTTTTAAATCGTACAGTGGTGGACCGTCAATCATCCAGATGATATGGATAATATCGCAAGTTTTGTCGCGATGTGCGATGGTGAAATTGAGAGAAACAATTCCTCAGATCACTCCCCGTGGTAGATGCTATAAAATACGCAAAGAGATGCAACATCTCTTCGCAGCGCCAGTAAATCGAGCCGATCTGAAAGGACTCTGTCGTCGATGATTCGAGCCGCTCTGCGCTGGATGCGGTCAAGTGGAAGGGGAGCCCCAGCCATCTCAGGGTTGGAGAGTCCCAGGCCAGAGATGGGAACAGTATTCCATATGAGGCCGAACCTGCGCCTTGTAAAGTTGCAGGCGGTGTGCTGGCATGAAATACTGTCCCGCTCAGCTGAGTGCGCCAAGTTTTTTAGAGGCCAATTTGGCCTTCTCTTCCAAGTGACCACTAAACTGCACGTCACTCGATATGTCGACTCCGAGGATTCCGATACTGGCTGAGGCAAGAAGGGGAGAGCCTTGAAACACAGCAGTGTTAGCAGTGATATTCAGCGGCAGAAAGTGTAAAGTGCCTACCCTGACAGACAGCTAGGCAGCAAAGAAGTCCCACCACCTAGTATCACTTAGAATCTACTGTTGTCTACTGGTCTGAAAGACAAAGTTAAAACTATTTTATTCAATTTTGTTTAAAGCTGTTATGTACGTCAAAATCTACACCACAGCAGGGCTAGCATGGGCAGGAGACGATTTTATCCCCGGGGAAAGGAGAAAATGTTTATCCCCTCGCTTAATTTTATCCACACTTCGAGCATGGGCACACTGGTGGATATAATATCTACAGTAGATAAAATGGGAGATAAATTTAGACTTAGATAGATTTTTTGTATGAATATGAACTTAAACCCACGTCCAAAGAACTAGGATAAAATTGTCCCTTTCAAATGTCAAAAAAGTATAATTTTTTATCTTTCATTTGGCTCCATGCTATGGACGGGGGATATATGTCTACTCATTATGTCAAACGGGGATATACTTCTCCCCGTTGCCGTGCTTTGGCATAAGGACAAGACCTTCTTAAATAAAAAAAAAATGGGCAAGAAACGAAAATAAATTACATGTTACAATTTCTTTTACAACATATAATAAAATCAATATGATGTCCAATGTGTATGTCTATTAATATTTTAATGTTAATTTTAACAATATATCCGTAGGCATAGGAATAACTCACCTGTATCTTCTTTGTGTGAAGCTGGCTGTCTATGAGCTAAAAACTATTTCAACAGTTGTATACTTACCATCAGGTAAACCGTAAGCTCTTTGTTTTTACAAAAAAAAAATATCGTATCGTAAATCTCACAGAATACCAGCATATGGTGATTATTGAGAACCGGACACCCTTTATACTGGAAATGAGAAATTCTATCTTAGTCTTCAAGGGCTGACAATGCATCTGAATTTTGATTCTTAATTGAGGGTAGATGTAGATGTCACAGTATCCATTTACCATCAGGTAGATCGTGTGTTCGTTTGTAACTCACATTCTATTAAAAATTATAACGAAATACCTTCTGATCTACAACTATTAAAGGGTAAAAAACTATAAAAGAAATTACTTACAATTTTTTCTCCTCATACAAGTGCAAAATTCCTGCTTTGAATCCGAGCATCTGACAAATAATCAAAGTCTGATCTTTATCGTAGTTAGCTTCAGGGTCTTTTAGCACCGTAAATATTTTCTGTTCGTATTGAGGCTTCTCTTCTTTAGGTAGTTTTGCCCTTGGAAACAAAATTGAGTAAGATTATTTGATTATTTTTCATGTGATAGCGGCGTAAGGGAATTCACTTATCTATCCTGACAATGGGTATCGTAAGTCGACAATGGGAAATCTCAGAAAGACCTGATGCCCTCCATGATTGGATGTTATAACTAGTAGTGGCAAGTTTTTTTTTAATATGGAGTAGTTATTACGTGGTAGAGCTGCTGCAAGCTGCAGCTATATTACTGGTATAGTTGTAGCATGAATGGGTCGGGTCAACCGGGTAAGGACAACGCTCTCATTGAATACCAGCGTGAAATAGGAGCTTAACACTGCTGTATTTCTTATGGTGAGTTATAGATCCGGAGTAAGGAAATAATACCGATATAGAGGCGTGACGCAAACATTTTCTTTATTTTATTATAAATCATATGGAATGCTGTGTTAAAGGCCCGTAGTGTATAAAATAGAAGACGCTTTTTTACTGGAAAAGAGGCATTCCATCTTAGTCCCTCACGGCTGATAACGCATCTGCATTTTGATTCGTAATCGAGGATAGATGTAGATGTCTATGGGCCACGCCAACCACTTATCATCAGGTGGACTGTGTGCTCATTTGTAGGCCTTATCCTATAAAAAATAAAACTGATTCTCCTACGTCGCCACTATATCGGCAGGTAGAAGGTTACTTATTGTAAATACTTACCAGACGTGTATATAATGTTCAATAAGCGCGTTGTACACGAGGCTGGAACACTTTGCATCCGTAGCTGATATCATATGTTCAAGAAACTCGATTAGACGCTCGGAATTACACAGGAACATATGGATGTAATCATCTGGAAGAGCCCTAGTAATAAAATTGGCTTAATTAATTATGTTAGTAAATTTAAGGCATTTACTTAAATTCGGGCATTTCATACTAGTAGTTTTGTATGGCATACACTTTCTAATTGTCAGTTTGAAAAGTTCTAAAATTCTTGATGTCAGTTTCGGTGCGTTCATAACGTCGAATGGAAAAAAATAATGACATAATCCCAAACGCATTGCTCACATACATTTTGTATGTGCCGGCACACACGAACTGCATTTCTGTTCAACACCACACCAGCGTTGTGCCTAGTGAAAGACCATGTGTTTTCAACAGTAAACTTGATGTTTTTTTCTCTTTCGTAAGCCATAATGAAGCTAATCAAAAGACTTTACTGACATCCTGTCGAAATCACAGAATGCTTCTGGATGCGTTCGTAATTCAGCTCGCGAGACAGAATGGAATTTCCTTGATTCTTTTGTTATTCAATGGTTGTACGCAATAACGACGTTTCCGCATCTACTTGTTCAATGCAGAATGTGCAATAGCTATTAATTTGGTGTCATCCATCTTGCCATGCGTTCACGAATGTTTCACTTTACGTACTGGCAGAAAAATTCCAAATAGAAAAAAGACAGTTTAAGCTAGGATGACGGAGTTCTTAGTGTGTATTCAACTTCCGTATTCAGAAGTTGAATACCTAAATCGTACATGTGTGGCCAGCCTAAGAATTTCGATAATTTTTTAAGGTCAAGTTTTGATCCACTTATTTTTCGTCTTATATTTTAAACTGTTTCAAATCCAATTCAAGACCAACGGAGTATAGGGCACATCATTTGACCAAATTTCGACTTAAAAATGTGCATTATTGTGTTAATGGAGTTGTAATCAAAAATATGGTATATTATGATATATTATAAATTTAACTTACCTAACAGGTTCTCTATATCCACCCGATAAGGAACTTTCATCAACCAATGGTTTGCTTCGAGGTTTGTAGTCGGTGCAAAGTACTAAAACAAACAATCTAGGTTATTCAATGCATGCCAATACATTATTATTATTATTATTTAACAGGCCAGCAGTTGCAACAACTGATATAAGCCCGTATCCTATTTTTCGAATGTGTGATTATTCTATTTTAGTTGTTTATCTAATCTGTTCTTGAATTGGTTAACATTTTTTGCAGATGTGATACATTTTCTGATGGCAGCTTATTCCATGTTTCGAACACTCTTTGGCTAAAAAAGTACTTGTGTGAGTTATTATTCCACATGGATGCGTGTTATTTGAGTATTGGAATAAATCTTTGTCAAAATTTTCTAGATCGTAGTGTCCATGTATAATTTTATAAGTTTCGATCAAGTCTCCTAGTTCTCTGCGATCTTTCAGAGTCGTTAATTTAAGTTTATTTAGCCTTAAAGAGAACTTGTTACAAGGCAATTTTTTAGAACTGCTTTTGCATGTTCCTTTACTATTAACAATTAAAAATATTAATTAATACGGTTCAATGACATCAGAACCAAAATAAAATTTTGGTTGCTTTCCAAATTAAAAAGTAAATGTATAAAAATTATAACATATTTTACTTATTAAACTATATGTAAGAAATTATAGATTCAGAAAAATTGTGTTTCCAAATCTATACTAATATTATAGAGAGAAAAGCATTTTTGTTTGTTTGTACTTAATACGGTTCAATGACATCAGAACCAAAATAAAATTTTGGTTGCTTTCCAAATTAAAAAGTAAATGTATAAAAATTATAACATATTTTACTTATTAAACTATATGTAAGAAATTATAGATTCCGAAAAATTGTGTTTCCAAATCTATACTAAAATTTTAAAAAGAGAAAAGCATTTTTGTTTGTTTGTACCGAATAAGCTCCGAAACTACTAGACCGTTTTAAACAATTTTTTTTTACCAATAGAGAGCTAAACTATCAGGAAGTAACAACATAGGCTATAATTTATTTTCAAAAAATTTGAGATTCTTAAGGAAATTGCAATTGCAACCCAAAGTAGCAAATTTTGCCTATAAAATTAATTATTTGGCATGCGTTGAGAAAACTATTGATGGCACATAAAGATTGTCTACTACATGCTTAAAGTACTCATTATTTCAACTATTGATGACACATAAAAATTAAAGTACTACATGATTAAATTACTTGTTATTACCTACAAAAAAGTCCGCATGGGAATATCTAACTATCATAGTTAAATCACAATAGTAGCTTTTGTGTTCTAAAATTTAATTAGATCGCCGGTAGAAACAAAAGTTGGTTACATTCGTATTCAAGTATTAATTCTTATTCAAATAAATAGTTTTATCATTATGTAGCAGTAAAATACATTTTAATTAATTTGAATCGGACATTTAATTTCGAAGTTATCACAAGTATAAAAATGCAGTATGTGAATCGTTCGATCCTATCCTATCCTAGAGTGGGCGGTGACCCGTGTTGCTATGTTAGATGTTGATGACAAAGAATTAATATTTGCAATGATGACAAAGAATTAATATTTGCAATTGTGACATTTAAAAATGTAAAAGTTTTATGTTGTGTCGTATATCTGCCACCAAATTATAAGGATGAGCAATATTTGAATGTTTTGACATGTATAGAAAATGTGATTTGTACTTACCCTGACCTAAATGTTCTAATCCTAGGTGACTTTAATTTAAACTCTTGCAGTACCAATATAAAGACTTCTTTTGACTTTTTTTGTGAATTCTGCTCGCTTAAGCAATATAATACAGTCTTAAATAATCGCGGTGGTATGCTGGATCTGGTGCTGGGCAGTTTCGAAGCTAAACAGATAGTGGTATCACTCAGTGAAGATCCTCTGGTAAATATCGATCAGTACCATCCTATGCTCGATCTAAATATTACATTTCCGGGCTTTTGGATAGCATCGAACGTGTCATCTTTGCAGCAAGTGACACCTCGCTCGAATACCAATACAGATTGGAACTGGCGTAAGGCAGATTTTCAGGGTCTATATAGGACTTTGATTGAAATAGACTGGTCTGATTTGTTAACAATAAGCGATATTAACTGTGCTGTACAGCTGTTCTATGATAAGCTATACGAAATTATAAATCTGTTTGTGCCTATTAAAAAACAATTATCAAACAATCAGCGATACATATATCCAAACTGGTACAACGTAGAAATAATAAAAAATATAAAAAACAAACACTTTCATCATAAGCAATTCAAAAAAGAGGGCAAAGAATTTAATAAGGCTATGTTTATATATTATAGAGAAAAAGTTAAGAAATTGATTGACTGCGAATACCGGAAATATATGACTGTACTACAAAAAAATATCATTGACGATCCTGTGCAATTCTGGAAATATGTAAAGGAGAAGAAAAACAATAGAAGGTACATAGATACATATATATATGAAAATACTGCAGTGACAGATCAAGCCGCAGCCGATGCCTTTGCTAAATATTTTGCGTCCGTTTTTCATGCAGAGAAACCCGTGCTAAACCCGGATACTGCTGCAAAAGCTGCATATGCACATATACATCGAGATGTGACCTCAGTTTCCATCACGACAGTTGATGAAAACGATCTGAAGAAGGTAGTGAAACGCCTTAAGCCACGATCGGCTGGTGGGCCGGATGGCATTCCTGTCTTCTTAGTTAAGGACTGTATATCAGTCCTTGGGCAGCCTCTTCTGTATTTATATAATCTTTCATTGACCCAGTCAAGATATCCTGAGAGCTGGAAGCTATCTCGAGTCACTCCTGTTCCTAAAGGAGACGGAGGCACAAATGTTACTTCATTCAGACCTATAGCTGTCCTATCCGTTTTTGGTAAGATCTTTGAAGCAATTCTAAGTGATTCCATCAAATGCCAAATCGGTCAACAGTTGCATAATGGTCAACATGGGTTTCGTACAGCTCGCTCCACCGTCACCAACTTGGTCGCGCATGTAGACTATATCTGCTCACAAATGGATAAGCGAAGGCAAGTTGATGCGGCTTACTTTGACTTCCAGAAAGCCTTCGACCTTGTGGATAACGATGTACTATTGAAAAAGTTGGCAATTGTTGGATTCGAACCAAAGCTCCTCAATTTTTTTTCTTGTTACCTTAATAATCGACGTCAATATGTGAGGCTCAGTGGATATAACTCTGGAGACTACTTTACTAGGTCAGGAGTAAGTCAAGGTAGTACGTTAGGACCTTTGCTATTCGTGATATTTATCAACGATTTGCCAGATGTTGTTTTGACTGCAGAGTGTCTCCTATTTGCGGATGACCTGAAACTAACTCTGGGTATTGAAACTGAGGCTGATGCCGTGACATTACAAAGAGATATTGATGCTGTGTCTATATGGAGTCAAGAAAACCACCTTCCGTTCAATAATCTCAAATGTAAAATAATAACTTTCACGAGAAAATCACAGCCCATTATTTTTAATTATAAGTTGACTGACGATCCTTTGGAAAGAGTTAAAGAGATTAGGGACTTAGGATTACTATTAGATTGCAAATTAGATTTTCACACGCATATCAACAAAATTTGTAAGTCAGCGCATAAAATGTTAGGGTTTGTCATAAGGACTGCGTCACAGTTTGATAATACACGGGTCGCAAAAGTATTATATAATGCTTATGTGCGCAGTAAACTAGAGTACGGAGCTGTTATCTGGAATCCTTACGAAGAGAAATACGTTCTAATGATTGAAAAAATACAACGTAAATTTGCTCGATGGATATATAAGAAACAGTACGGATACTATCCCTACTTATACCCTTCCTTATTCGTGTCTGGTATGGTGGACATTGAAACTTTGAAACTTAGAAGGGCAGTGTCTCAAGTCATGCAATATCTGTCCATAATTCATAATAGGATTGATAGTCCCCAAATACTAGAGCGTGTCCGCATCTTGGTCCCTGGGAACGTGTCAGCAAACTCGCAGGGACAGGTGGCACCGCGGCGCCGCCCGCGACTGCTGGAGCCCCCCCTCCCCCCGCGCACGTACCGAGCGCGCTCGTCAAGCGCCCACCAACCGCGCACTCCGCATTATTGGGGACATACTTGCACAGCACAACGAGCTAGACTTATTTGCCGATGGATTAGGACATTTGTATAAAAAATTTCAAATAATTTTAAATAAATTCTAGCCATCAAACTTACGTATATTGTTTTCATAATTAATTATTATAATTGCTGTTCTTATTTTTTTATTTTTTTTTATTATTATTATTGCTATTTTATTTTAATATTAATGTATTTATGGACTCAGATTGTATTTTTTATGATTTCTTTTCTATGATATTATTGATATATTGTTAATTAGGATATTGTAAAATAATTTTGCTATTACCTATATAATGACGAGGATGTGTAATACCGAATTGCTAATCTTATAAGCGTTTTGGATGTGTCATCTGTTAGCTTGTAAGATGAAATGAAATAAATAAATAAAATAGATTGTAGCTTTCATTTCAAATATTTAAAAAAAAAATAATGGCACTAAGGGTCCGCATACTGTAGTACCAATAGTTGATGGGATTCAAATGTTGGTTAGATAAATTCGGAATCAAATTGTGGATTTCGTTATTGTTATTAATTTGTTGTTTATTTACAATATGATACACTAGTATATAGTTTGCCCAATTAGTTGCTTGGTTTGTTTGTGGATCCGTTCGTTGGTTTGTCTGATTAACTGACTAACTTATTGCATTTATCCAAATAAGTGTATTTTTAGGTCTTCATGGCAATTCAAAGTAAAAATAAATCTACACATAACAAAAGTACTAACTCTACACGAACGAAGTCGCGTGCACAGCTACTCTAAGATAAAGAAATAGAAAAGAAATATGTAAATTTTTATTACATTTCAATAGCTTGGTGCTCTCCTCGGGCTCATGTTGTATCAATTTGTGACCATATTTCTTCATATACATATCGGCGTCTTCAAACTCTAGTTCTGCAATATAATCTAATGCTTTTTTGTATTCTTTTTTGTCTTCTAGAACGATCTTGAGGTACCAATCGTGACGTTTGTGGTTCGCCGCCAAAGATAGAGCGTCGTCCGCATTCACTTGTCGTACTACCTGTCAAGAAAATACTTTTCTTTTGATTTCATCGACGTTCCACGGCACCTAATTTTTTAATAACGGGCAATTAGCCTGCTTACAGAGAAAAAGAGAATATTATGTAAAAATCGTCGTGTGGTGGCGACTAAGAGAATTCACCCAGGGCAGTGATTGAAAAACATTTCAGTTCTAAAAGAAGTTCCATTATTAGGTATGTTTTCGACTTTGATAAACCTTTTTTTTTTATACCGAATGGGGGTGACAAACGAGCACACAGTCCACCTGATGGTAAGTGGATGCTGTGGGCCATACACATTTACATTTGTCTTCGATTAAGATCAAAATGCAGATGCGTTGTCACCCCTGAGGACTACGATGGAATTACTTGTTTCCAGTAAAAAGGTTCTCCAGTTCTCTACACTCACCATACGAAACACAGCAACATTGAGGTATTCTGTCGTCGTTCCCCGGTCGAGCCGACCCATTCGTACTGCAACCATAATTTAGATGCAGCGTGGCTGTACCACGTATTACACCTGTTCCAAAATACCTAGTTTTCAGGTTCCAAGCCAAACGGGAAAGCCTTTACAGATTTGTAGTTTACTGTTTAATATTACTTTGATCTCAATGTAGAACAAAAAAATTTGCGGCATGATGCCTTTCTTTTCTTACTACAAATTTTACGGCTCCGTGGCGCAGTGGCTTAGCAAGGAGTTGCTGCGCTGGAGGCCGCGGGTTCGAATCCCGCACGGAACAGGTATTTGTATGACCTACAAATATTTGTTCCGGGTCTGGATGTTTGTCCTTGTGCATTTGTGTATGTAAACTGCCTCCAACAGGGGAAAATCCTAGTGTGGGGGTAACGTTTTTAAAAAAAAAAAAACATTTTGTTACTGTCACTCCTTAAAACCAAATAAGTTAGAACATGTTCGCAAATATACCGGTAAAGTATAATTTCTTAACGGCTCTTATTAAATTTTCGGTTAAGTTCTTCTCATAGTAACTACTAATAAATATTGGTTCTTTTTTGGTATTTTCAAAAGTTTTCAATTCCTGTCCAAAATAACCTATGGGAAAGGCCAGATAGACCTCATGGTCTCCGACACACGACAGTACCTACGTAATTTCGTATATGTTACATATAAAATAGCCCGACTGACAACAGAAAGCAGCATCAAAGATACGAGACACGTGGTATTATGATAGCAACTCCACTTGTCAGACGTGGCGAACAAGGTAAATATTCGCTTACACTGAGGTTTTTAAGACCATCATCAACTGCTTACAAAGTGGTGGGGATAATAATATTGATTATTTAAAGTAACCAAGTAAAGTAAAATGTAATGGATTTTATAACGTTGTGTAAAATGAAAAATTCTGAATTGTTTAATTTTAAATAATGTTGTTCAAAGTGTATCATGGCAATTCTAAAATACACTTGGCACTTGACACTGGCAAAAATCCAAATTAAAATAATACTACAAATAAAGAAGGAAAGTAGATTGTATTTAAAAAAAGAAAACAATGCTTACCTTAATAGCTACGTCGACATCGAAATCGATTGCCTTATCCTTTGAATTTATAAATTCTTTTAGCTTTCCCTGTTGATCATGTTGATCGATTTTCACATAGCATGTAAGCAATAAAGTCGTATGGTCTTCGGTAGCAAACCCCTTTTTATGAAGCTCCTCTAAATATTGCACTAAGGACTCCAGATGTCTGGATTCAAGGTACTTTCGTATCACATATGATGTTTCTAACCAGCCAATAGTTTTGACGTATTGGTCTATTGCACTTTTAAGGTCACCCTGTAACATTATAAATAAAATTTAAGTCATGATTTCTAAAGAGGTTATTTTATACGCCATATTTAGGTACATAGTCATCAGTAATAAATTCCTAGAGCATATAATTTGAATTTGCTTCTTATACTAGTAATAATAATAATAATAATTTAGTAACATCACAAGCTTTTAAGTTTCATAAATTACGTTAAATACAATAAATAATATCAGCAGCTCTTAACAGCATCTTATTATCATACACAAAAATTAATAAAACACTTTTAGCAGTTTAGCCACAGGAAATTTATTTCCTTTTAGTCACATAATATATATTATACCAGATCTGTCTCACTCTGCGCTTTAGGCATAAAATATACCTACGCTGCGCGGCCGTCTACAAGATGCTAATTCCATGACACGCGCGCGCTTGAGCTAACGCGCGCCTTACGTTAACAAAAACAAATATTTTTCTCTTTTAAGTATTTAGGCATTTTTGATATTTATTTTTGAGTTTTTATTCAAGTATGACCTCTCAAAAAGCCAATAAGTACTGCATATCATACGGAATGTCGACTTTTCATTCTTTACTGTTCCTAAGTATACTGAAAGGTAAGATATTATAATTTGTAGGTAAATCTAGATAATTAAGTACGTAGTTACTGACGCCATAGCTACAGATATATTATTTGATTAGCGACCCGATCACAGCTTCGCAGTTTTTGATTATTTCGCATATAATGCCGTCGAATGATAAAATACCGGAGGCGCATTTACTATTTATTAAATAAAATTTATTAAAAATAACCATGAACACTTATCGAAAGGCCAGCTATCATAGACGAGTGAAGGTCGATCTGCCACGGTCTCTTAGACTAAATAATGTTTTTAATATCAGCAAATTACTAATACATTGCATAACACCTCGGTTTATTCTACAATCAACTAATATCAAAGGATTCAATTTGTTTTCTTACAACACCTAACCCTACAGTAGAAGCGGCCTTAACAGAAGCGCGTAACGAGCTAAACGATACAGACTCGCACGCGCACGTTACGACGATTTTTTTATAAGATAATATAATATTTATTTTGCAGAAATTTTCTTACAGGTGGAAACGAGGCCTATGAGTAATTACTGTCACATGATAGGTCGTAAATAAACTGTGTGGTATTTTTATGACTTTAATTACTATTTAGTTACGTCAATTTAGTTCGGCGTCGTAGGAGAAGGATATTAGTGACTGCAAAAATTTACCTTGCTGTATAAGTGATCACCGTATTGTTTATAAATCTCAGTCAATCCTTCAACATCGTAGTGCTGACTGCTTGCTATCCTTATCGCGACGTCGTAAAGGTTCTTTTTGAATAGCAGCGACAGTTTCGACTGGAGATCTTTTTCTTCTAGATATATCATCTCTTTATTCTTCGTGAGAACATAGAACGATCCCCACTCGGTTAAAACCGCATCAATTTCTTCGAATGTTTTCGCAAATACAATGGACTTGTTTTGAATGTCTAATATAGTTAGGTTGTGTGATTTGGGAACAGGTGCGTTGTTGGTGGATGCTGTGGATTTTGTCGGAGACTCGTTGGTGACAATAACTAGATAGTTACGGAACCAGTTTATGCGCACTTTTTCACCAGCTAGTGCATAACAGGGGCCCCTGCCCTCTGTGGTATAACAATATATTGCCTGTAACCAAATAAAATGCATGTTAAAAAATTGTTTTTGTGTAAATTTATTAATATCGAATATAAGCTAAGGTATTTTTAACATGATTAAATTAATACGACGTATGTGTAAAATAAGTATATTGGAATTTTATAAATTAGTTTTCGTCCACTTTCAGCTCAACAATTTGTTTGTAAACCAGTAACATTACACTAATTTTTTTAGTATTTTTACCTGATTGCCCCAAAATAAGGAAATGTTTTTCGAGTGTATGTATATATTTATTTCATTGGCATGCTTTTTAGCCTAAATGGCTTGATGAAGAATAGGCAATGAGAAGTAGCATAGCATCCTATAGATGTCGTTACATTCGTCTTAGTTGTGTAAGTGACATAGGAGATAAAAATTTTCTCTTTTCAGTAAACTTTTTACGCAGTCGGGTTTTTAAATTACTATTTTAAACATTGGGCTTGTTTACATTTACCTAGTATTTTTTACATTTATAAGAGGTACAGACCGTGAGCTACAGTGCGTGTTGACGGATTATTCATACTGTGTATTCGAAATATTTTGTATTTGAGACATGTAGGTTTTATAACCTGTTTTTCTTTACTAACACGAGATTGTTGTAAATCAGCAATTAATATTGAAATTATTAATAATATATGTGTCGGTGGGAATCCATTTTAGAATACTTGCACACTGTGAAATTACTGCGAGCTAACCATGTCTTTTTGGTATATTATGCGAAACGGTTACACCGCCATCTATTGGAGGCCATGAGGTATTTCTGGCATAGATTATTTTCTACAAATGCATAATATAAAGTTTAGCTGATGATAAATATTTTGATCTTTATATTATATGAAATTGTTGGATAGTGATTGTGTAACTTTTGAACAACTTGACCAAAAGAGGTCATATTCAAACAATATTTTTTTGTCAAGCAGAACTGTGAAACATCATATTTCTGCTAGGAACCGATAGGTGGCGCTTTAATGAAGTTATTAACTAATTTAGTATTTATGGACGAAAACGACTCAAATCAACAATATAATTGGCCAAAAAGAAAATTACAAACTTTTGAGCCGACAGATAACACTATAGAACGCCGATTAACCGAATCGCCAATTATCCGAATCGGTCCTAAGCGTAACATAAAAAATTAAAACCAAGTACTGTAAGTAATGTTACTTACAGTACTTGGTTAACTGATATTAAAAATAACAGTAAAATAATTTTAAGTTTTGTGACTGCGTTAGAAACTGGTGATGGATGTTCGTCGCGAAAAGTAATGAAAAAGGCAAAGGATGAACAGCTTGAGAATGCTGTTTTTACGGATTTCAGGATCGATTTTATGTGAAAAGGCGCGAATGTTCAGTGTAAACATGGGTGTAGCTACTAACTTTATTATAAACATAATAAAGTTTATTCAATGTGTGACAGTTCGTTTTTCTATATTAGATACCAGTCTATGTCCGATTATCCGAATTTTCGATAATCTGAATCGACTCCCAATCGTCAAAATCCACAAAATCTCCTCAAAATCCCAATTAATTCGGATAATCGGCGTTCTACTGTAATTAATACATTTTATTGTGTCGTCTAATGAAAAGGGCAGACCAGTGTCTGCTGGGTCAGCTAGTAAAATCCATTATCCATCCACCCAATCATTACATCTATCCATCTATCCTTCCATTACAACCTATAAAAGTCCACTGCTGAACATAAGTATATCTGCCTCATAGATTGCCTCACGGTTGGATTTCGCCATAGCTTCCACGTTTTTCAACTACAGTTTTTTATTACAGGTTTTTATTTTTGAGTTGTTATCAGGAATATGCTGCTGCCCGTCTTCTGTTTCATTTTCCCTCTGTCGACACTTACGACACAGTTGGGACGATATAGGATATCACAACATTATTAGCTAGAAAATATAATGATGTAACATTTCTTAAAATAACTAATTGGATAATATTAATCTAAACAAAAATAATTTTCACATTTGTTTCAAATATTTAAACTGTATAACATATAACTTAGACTTCCATTCTTATAAATAGCGGACATTAAATTATATCAATTTGAAGGAAATTGTATTTAACATAGAATTATGTGTGCTCACGTCTGTGGCGGCGACGGTGAAGCTGTGCCTGTCGGCCAGCACGCTGCAGGCGGGCGCGGCGCCCATGGCGTCCAGCGTCACGCAGCGCTCCGCCGCCAGCCAGTACACCATCACGCATGACCGGCTCACCACGAACAACTTGTCCGCGCCCCTGACAACCAAAAACTCAATTGTTTTTAATCGAATAAGAGCCCGTTCCCAGTTTTATATGACTCCACCACAACCAAAATATGGCTATGACTTCTGTTAAACATGTCAAAATACGAAAGCAGATCTAGTAATGTAAGATCAGCTAAAGTAGATTAAAGGATAGCTGCTGCAATGCCGCGGACATTTTTATAATTTGTAAATTATTCAGACTTTACCTAAAAAGCACCAGGTAATCCTAATTTTACTAATTCTTCTATCATTATCAGAAAGTTATTACACAAAACATAATTATATAGCTATGCGCGAACATTTTATTACTAAGTTTGAACATTAAGCTATCCCAATGTAAGTACATCCAAATGTACTACCTACTACTTTTGCATTTTAGAAGTTAATAAAAATATTCATATGATTTAAGCAGATATGTACTTTAAATAAAATTGAAGCGACAAGCAAATTAACAGTCTACCTGTAAGGACAAGAATGTCTCTCAAGCTGTGATTACACTGGCTAACTACAGCAGTGCATGCAATGCTGCTTGTCAACAGAAATAGGCAAGAAGGTGAACCAACCTACCCAGATGGACTCGTGGGCAAGGAAGGAGTTGTAACACCTAGTGATATAAATACTGAGTTCAAAATTTTTATGAGCATACTTAAAAGCAAGTCCAGTAATAGGGCTTGTTCCAGAGTCTGGCAATGTTTTCATCTTGACACTGCGCTGTCTGGCAATGTCACCACGGAATAATGACACGGAGCCATCTTGAAAACCGACCGCTAGGAGATTCTATAGAAACAAATTATATATGATTTTAACTATATAAATTAAGTTAACAAATTTTTATTGACAATAAAATGTACAAAAGCTTACCTTATTGTGAACTGCAAGAGCTGTTGCCAGAGTTGGACGCATATGAGATGGCACTGCACGGGAGAGATACGAGCAACTTGGATGTCTATCATTACGTGACCAGTCCCATACTTTAATTAATGGATTCATACCCGGCTCATCTTCCTGTATTCAAGGTAAAAGGCATGGGTTTAATAAATTTTAATAAAGAGTATATGTCACAAAAAATATTCATTATACTAATTAATTAATTATTAACCTAGAAGCAATTTCAGATTTTAAGCCTGTTGCTGAAAGATGACAAACTCAGTGCTACATTAACTTTGGGCCTATCTCAATCAATTCTAAAATATTTATGCTATATAATTATTACAATAAAAACTAAACAACACCATAGTGATTATACAGAGTTTTTGTGACACCGCCTAATGAAATAATTTTTTAAGAATATTAGCAAATACAATCATTTAATTTGTTTGAGAAATCAAATTTCGAAAATCAATTTTTAAGCACACACAAATGAGTTTGATTTGGCTAGTTATACATCATCATAAAGGTTTTTTATTATACATATTTGCTAGTGAACTTATGGAATACTTTTTATTTCAAATATAATCTTATAGGAATTCACTCGCAGCAATGGAGCTTAGTCGAAATTCATAATCAAAAGAATGATTTGAACTTTCAGCAACTACTTTTGATGAGTCTACATGTTCACATGTAACAATTTTCAATTCTTCTTCTCCTATTTCGAATTTTCTCCCTGCTGTCAAATTTCTATATCATGAATTGGCATCAACCCACTTGACGGTCTTTCTGCTCATCAGTAAGTTTATGTGGCAACTATCTTGAACACTGCTTATGGAGAGAAAGTTGGTCAAGGGAAAAAATTGAAGCTGATCCAATACCCCAAGCTCAACTATACAATATGACAGTTTTCTCAAATAAGTTTTATGACTGCTTGAAATATTTTCTTGTACATTGGTGTGACATCAGTGAATCAAGTGACTGGTGGTTGTAAGCAAATCAGTCTTTGCTTCATCATTAAAAAAAATCCCTGCTCTTTTAAATAAAGCAAACCAAAAAAGAAATGGTAGCAATTTAAAGGAATCAATCACCCCCAATTGTTCCATGGGTGCTGTCACCTCTTGACTATGGGCTTTTCATCATTATCTTGTTTATGCCATAATAACTAGACCAGCAAGAGGATCAGTGTCAAAGGAGTGTCCACTCCGTGGCTTAGCAATGACTAGTTGCACTGGGGGCCACGGGTTCAAATCCCCCACTGAACAAGTATTTGTATGGCCTACAAATAATTGTTCCGGGTCTGGATGTTTATCCTCGTGAAATTTACGTTTGTAAACTGCCTCCACGATACAGGAGAAAATCCTAGTGTGGTGGTAAGGTTTTTAAAAAAAAATTGTGATAATTAAGGTACATACATACATACATATAATCACGCCTCTTTCCCGTAGGGGTAGGCAGAGACCAGTTCTTTCCACTTGCTACGATCCTTACATACTTGTTTTGCTTCGTCCACTTTCATTATTCCCTTCATACATGCTCTATGGTTTAGGGTACTCTTGACCTGGCCTTTTTTGTAAGTCGAGGGATACTCATCCCAATTTACCTGTCCGGTAGTTGTGGTATGGTATACGGGTATGCGACCCCGGCTTCCCTAGTATTACTGTCCTATCCCGGGCCCTCCTGGACGGTAATATCCTACATTTTCTATTTCCTACCCTAACTTACCTTACTCTTCCTTTTCACACCACCTATCCTTCCCCTTTTCCTATTCCTACCGTCCGCCAATCCAATGTCTGCCGCGCGGATGGATGCATGGCTAGGGGCGAGCCTAGTCGTTAGCGTGCCACACTGCCCTGGGACCGGGCGACCCCAGAATTAGGCTAGCCTTACCTTAACCTTTCCCTCGCTATTCGTGGGAACGCAATGGATAATCATAAAAATAATTAAGGTAAATCCTCTTTATAATGCAGATGATGATAAAATTAAGATAATTTAATTTTAAATAATAAGAATTTTTTTTATATATGATGTTTTATATTTTGAACAATATTTTATTGCCACTTACCCCAATAGTAACTAAGAATGGATCATGTGGCAGCTGTTGTGCAAGTGTAATGGTCAACTCATATGCCTTGAAGGACAGGATCTCCCAAGAGCGGGATATGACATGTGCCAAGCCTGTCACATCGCACACAACTATATGATTGTGGCCACTTGTTGTTGCAGCGACTGTAGTGTCCTGAAAAACACAATTATTATATTTAATATTTATAATTTTAATTAAATCTTATGTTGTGTATTTTGATTATATTAATGTGGAAATTAAGAAGAACTTACCTGCAGACATTCAGCAATTTTCCCCCCATCTACATTTTTATGAACATCAAAGAAAGTAAATCGACGCCACTGAAATGAATTATACAAGTTAAATGCTTACTTTATGTAGAGTATCAATAAGGGGCAATACAATAGTTTAATTAGCATTTACAAAATATTGGCACACAACTCTTGATTATCATAAATTTATCTAAATCAGGACTAATTAACGATTAAAAAGTCCTAGTTGAATTCGTAATTACAGTGAACACAAAGAAATAACGATTGATTTTTAAACAAATTAAATGAATCAATCAAGTTGACTTAATAACAAATACTTACTTCTAAAAATGCCATTTTAGTGGATTTAATGAAAAACAATCATATTAAATACGAAATATTAATTGTTTTATTTTTATCGCCTCCTACAAAGTAGCATTGCAATTACAAATACAAATTAAAATTACAAAAGCACAATTGACACTTGACATTGACAACGCTTGTCAAAATGACGTTTGATTTGTGTTGCCAATTTAATTTTATGAAACTCACTATAAGCAGACGTGGTAAAACCACCAAAAATCACAGAGTTATTTCATCCACATCATAACGATCAATCACGATGGTAATAAATCACCGTGCGTAACTAGGTATCTTCTATCAAGCACGACCATAGTTTGGAATTTCCTGACACTAACGGTTTTTATGGACCACAGTTATATGGTGATTCGATCCGATATAAACTTCGAGAACCTTCAAGAATAGATCTTCTCTAAAGGCCAGCAATTCTTCTGCAATTCCTCTGAACCATATATTTCCCTTTTGTAAAAAAAAATTCTAACGCAGTTTGGCAAGCAACATTAGTCAGCTTCTTAAAATTTAACCACGGACCACGCTCTCACAGAATACCAGCGTAAAATGGCAACTTGATACTGCTGTGTTTCGTATGGTGAGTGTAGAGAACCGGAGACCCATTTTACTGGAAAAGAGGCATTCCATCTTAGTACTCACGGGTGACGACGCATCTGCATTTTGATTCTTTATTTTTAAGACTCTCAAGAAAACAATAAATCTCCCTCTAGTGTTTCCCTAATTAGTTAGATTTAGTAATTAATCGTACTGCCGCACAATTGTTGTAAATAGTTAATAAATAATTGTTAAATCGTCCCACCGGGGACCTTCCTTTATACAGTCCTCTTAGCACTCAGATTAATAGTCAGGTCAATTTAGTAAAGTAAAGCTATCGAAGCTCTTTCAAGAAATAAAGTAAAATTAAAATTAGTCATACAGTCTAGTTACACACTCATTTCTCAACACCTTATTTCTTTTTAGGTTGCTGTAGCCGAAATCTAGTCTAGGCCAAAAAGAAGCTGTAATATTTAGATATTTTTCAAATTATATGTTATATAAGTGTCTGTTGCATAACCTTTTTGCTAATTTATTTATGAGCACAACACAGCTTTGTCATATTTGGCATATTTGTCGTGTATATCTTTTGATATTATCAAATACTAAATTTTTATGGTATAATGCCGAAATTTTATAGATTTAGACCTACGTCACCCACCCGAAAATCAAAACGTAATAAAGACAAGGAGAAAGATAAAGAAATTTATAAGTAAGTGTATAATTATTCTTCTGTAAAACCTGAGATTTTGAGTTGTTTACTCGACTCAGTACTCATAAGATTTCTGACGCCTCGTACTGTGATAGCTAAATGTGAAGCAAGTTGTTTCGTTTAGTAATTCATAGTAGACTGTCAAGCTACATATCATCGGTTCATTGTCTTTATTATTATTGCAGCCCATAATAAGTCCATAAGTCTCTTGCCACGCTCGGCCGAACTTCAAACCAGTTCGCACCGAGCCGAGTGCCCTCTGGCGTCGATTCTTGACATTAGCGTTTGGCGTGAACAAGTCTCCTGCCGAAAATAAACAGTCACTTCTGCAACGCCATGGTCTTGAGTCACTTGCGTTCATCCATCTCGTAGGTAGTTGCTATGCACAGAGTTTGTCGTTATTATCTACAATTTGTGATCGTGATTACTTCTAACAAAGTCACTCATTAATTTAAAATTGTAGACAGCTCTATTCAATTTTGTCATAAAAAGGTTGAGCAAATCTGTATTTCGTTTAAAAATATATCGATTTTGAAAATGAACTCCAAGCTTTTGTGTTGCTTAAGAATTGCCTTCCTCGCCTTGCTTTTTAGCCCATTGCGGTATTATTATCATCATTATTACAGCCTATCGATATAGTCCACTGCGGAACGTAAGCCTTCCCCATAGACTGCCTCATAGGGAGGATGTTTACCGTAGACGTCATGCTGGGCATCCACAGTTTTTCATTTTCTAGTTATTATTAGGCTACCGCTGCTGTTTATATCCTGATTGGTTCCCTTTGTCGCATCTTATGGCACCTACGGGAAGATATGTGATAGTGGATGTTCTTACACCGCCACTACGCGGTAGTAAGATAAGTAGGTATTGTAAAATTGGTCAAATATATGAAAGTACGTATCAAGTATTATCAGCAACAGTAGGTGATGCGGCTGGGGTGGCCATTTATCAAAACCGCAGACATTTATTAAATTTATACATTATAATATCTGTATTGTACATATGTTTAACAAACCGCAATAAGGTGTACCGAGTTATGACCGGCTAAACCTAGGTATATCTGCTTTGATACCAACCTACTCGGGTTTTAACCGTAACATATTATACTAATATTATTATCATTTAAACAATCATTCAAACATTTGTAATATTTCAATAGAAACGAGCCTGAAATTGAAAGAAACTGGTTAGATATGACACTAGCTTGCCCTGCAACGCCATCTTGGTATTTACGTCGGATCGCTTGGCGTGAGACTTCACCGCTGTTGGGTCTGCCTCGTCAATTCAACACCGGTCTTCGCGCAGAGTTACATATCGGTAATCGACCGATTTTTGTCTTCAAAGTTCCACCAGCAATACGATCGCAGGACATGATGCGATTATTTTAGTCTGGTGATTTGAAAAGTCAAGTTTCTTTTTTTTAATCAAAGTCTACGAGTACCCTGGGTTTAAATAAATAACCTAATGTTCACAATATCTTTAACGTATTGTTTGTATTAGTAAAACAAGTTCATTGTTGTAAAAATAAATCATGTTTGTATTAAAAAAAAAAACTTGTTTTCATTTTTTGACATCTATTTAAATATTTTTTTTAGATTCAGATGGATTTTTTGTTTTTCCGGGGTTGGTATGACCCCCTCTCTCACCCGTGCCCGCTTGACGTTGAGTTTCGGGACACGTTGTATACGCAATATTTAGTTTAGTTTTCTTTATTTTTCTTGTGTTTTCTCCACACTTTGGCGGGACTTAAATTTTAATTTTTAGTTTAGAAGTATCACATTAAATTGCTGTGCCTTCCATAAGTTAAAAATATCATTTCCTATCTGTTAAAATAAAAAATATTAACACTTTTTATGATGAGTATTAACACAATTGTAATAAATGGATCAGATATTATGATAATTTTATTAATTATAGTTAATTTTATTTATTTAATAAATGTGTCACTTATTGTTAACTGTTTATTTCAATGGTTAAAAATTAAATTAGTCATCTTGTTTGCGTGCGACACCCCTATGATACTTGTACTCCTGGGACTACGCTAGCTGGTAGGTGTATATAACGCGAGATCTTAAGCGAATTACTTATTACTAAGCGGCTAACATCCGTTTTAACTAATCAGTTCAACTTTATCAGATGTATATATAACGTAATTAATTATAAATTTCTATTTTGTTTTTATTCTATATTGCTACACCTACTTCAAATTCTCAGCACTCCATGGGTTGACTGGTAGAGAATGCCACAAGGCATTAAGTCCGCCCTTTGTATTCTTTTAGATTAAGGAATGCAATAAAGAATAAATAAATAAATAAATAAATAAAATGAAGCCAAATAGGCTAACAGCACTAACATCATTAAAATAAAGATGAAGATCAGTTAAACAGATCAGTTTAAGTGACCGTGTGTGTCGAGCTTATAAATAATACTCATTGAAAGCCACTCTTTTGTTTAATTTACCGTACAGGAAAAAAATTCTGTTCTGCGAAGAACTGCAAGAAACTCGGCGAGACTTTTTTTGAAAAACAAATTACAGCTTCCAAACATATTATATGTTACACAATTAACAACACAATACAAATTACATAATATAGCTAGGTATCGATTACCTTCTTCCTCGGGGTTACTATCATCCATAACTTCCTGAATAGGTAAGTACCTACTATAATAGCCCTTTGTATACAAAGTAAAAGCGTATTAATTGCTCCAAGAATGAATTACTGATTCGGTGGAGTCAAGTAACTGGTACTACTAGCTTGTGTATGTTCCTAGTATTTACAGAATGAATATCACTTATTATTTTTAAAACTACTTTAATTTTTGTGTACATACATTAAATTTTCGTAAATGTATTGATCAAGTGTAACAATACATTGTGTCGTGTAGTGGCGAGTAAGAATACCCACTACCCCATATCTTCCAGATGGCAGCATTATCTTTATGATAACAGCAAATTACAATAAATAACTGTGGTTGCCAACCCGCTCGCCAAGCGTGAAACTATGGCAATATACCCCCCATGACAAAGGTTACAAAAAGACGGCCCCCAGTCCCCAGCAGCCCCGCTATGTCTGGCTACGGTGGCGACCATAGTAATGGCGAGGCAGGGGGTGCTAAGAATCTCCGTTGGAGGTTCGGTTGCCACCTAAGACGACTCGACCTGGCAATATACAACGCATGCACCCTGAGGACTGACGAGAAGATCCTGGAGCTGGAAAAAGAGATAGACATTATAGTATACGGTGTTAATGGGAGACTTTAACGCAAAACTAGGCACAAGAGAGAACGGTGAACATAGGGTAGGGAAATTTGGAATAAGGCAACGGAACCCAAGTGGTCAGCAGCTGGCCGACTTCATGGAGAAAGAGGGACTATTATTTGATGAACTCTTTCTTCCAGAAGCCCCCAACAGAAGGCCCCACAGGAAATGGACCTAGTCGAGCCCCGACGGTTGGACAAAAAATGAGATTGACTTCATTATGACGAATAGACGGCAACTGTTCAGTGATGTCTCAGTGATCGTGGGGGTGAAAACTGGTAGCAATCACCAAATGGTTAGAGGCACACTGAACCTAAACGTTAAGTTGCAGAGGTGTTGTCTAATAAAGTCAACGCTCCGTCTCCCTCGTCCTCTAATCCAAAGTCATGAAACCTTTCAGCTCGAGTTACAAAACCGTTTTCAGTGCCTAGAAGATTGTTATGCAGTGGACGATATAAACGACAAGCTAGTCCACGAGCTTACGCACGCACGAGAGAACGATTGGATAGTTTCCAAAGTATCCATGTAGTCGGAGCTAAGTTTTACATGACCCGCCGCAGAAGAACACAAAAACTCTCCGATCACACGCTTAATCTCATGACTGTTAGACGGGAAATGAAGCTGCAATCTAAAGTAGATTTGACAGCATACAGGCAACAGAACAGACAAATCTCCAAATGCATGCGGCGGGACTTACGTAACTTTAATACTGCTCGTATTGAAGAAACGATCGAGAGCAACCAAAGTCTTTAAAGTTGGTAAAAATTACCTCGCGTACATCCACTCGATAAAATAAAATTATGTGTCTTACCTAGTTTGAAGAGCACCTACCTTGCATACTACCGTGGTGGGACTACTCCAGAGGCGTGGAGCATAAGTTCGGTGGTCTTGTTCTTCAAGAAAGGCGACAATGCACGTTTGAAGAACTACAGACCATTTCCCTTCTGAGCTGTGACTACGTGCTGTTTTCGAGATTCATTACGAATCGTCTCGCACGCGGACTCGACGACTTCCAGCCCCCCGAACAAACCGGTGTTACCGAAAAGGCTTTAGCACCATAGACCACATACACACCCTTCGGCAAATTGTACAGAAGACAGAAGAGTACAATCTGCCACTTTGCCTTTCGTATGTGGACTATGAGAAAGCCTTTGATTCCGTCGAAATTTGGGCGGTGCTACAGTCCCTTCAGCGGTGCCAAGTTGACTGTCGGTATATCGAAGTACTGAAGTGTTTATACGGTAGGGCTATGATGGCTATCCAAGCACAGAATCAGAGTACGAAACCTATCCAACTGCAGAGAGGTGTAAGACAGGGTGACGTTATATCCCCGAAACACTTCAACGCTGCATTGGAAGACGTTTTCAAGTTACTGAACTGGAAAGGATACGGTATTAACATCAATGGCGAGTCCATCACTTACCTTCGATTTGCCGACGATATAGTCCTTATGGCAGAATCGCTGGAGGACCTAAGCACTATGCTCAATGACGTCAATAGGGCCTCCCAACGGATAGGTTGGGAGGCCCTATGAACATGGACAAAACAAAGATCGTGTATAACGTCCGTGTCACACCTATGCCGGTAGTTGTTGATGAGTATGCTGACCTGGAACAAATAGTCCGACTATGTCCAACTTCGACCGAGAGGTCAATCGACGGATTCAATTCGGCTGGGCAGCGTTCGGGAAATTACGACACATCTTCTCGTCAGGTATACCTCAAAACTTGAAAACGAGACTGTACAACCAGTGCGTGTTACAAGTGACGACTCATCGAACTGAGACGTGGTCCTTCACTGCTGGCCGTATGAGGAAGCTCAAGGTCGCTCAGCGAGCTATGGAGAGGGTTATGCTTGGGATTTCTCTGCGTGATAAACTTATAAATGAGGATATCCGGATTAAAAGCAGAGTGACCGACATAGCTCAAGCCTAAGGGATTAGTAAGCTGAAGTGGCAATGGGCCAGCGATATAGCTCAAAGAACTGACGACCGATGGGAAAAAAGGTTCTCGAGTGGCAGCCTCGTACCGGTAGGCGACTAGATGGAGTGATGACCTGGTAAGACATGCAGGAAGTCGATGCATACAAGTGGCTTAGGACCGTGTTTTGTGGCATTCGTTGGGGGAGGCCTATATTCAGCAGTGGACTTGTGAAGGGTTGTAATGATGATGATTATGATGAACAATACATTGGACATATATTATAATTCTTCCTCCTTCTCATCGGTTGTATGGACATATGAAATAGGCGTTTATATGGAAAAAACAAAACCGAAATAAATATGTATGAAATTATATATTTATTTAATCAATCAAAGTATCTATGAACTTTCGCCTTTTTATATGTCCTTTGCTGAACAAATTGTGGGAGCGAGAATTTAACGTGGTAGCGTGGTAATACAATATAATATTTTTAATTTTTAATGCACATACAATGTGTTTTGTATGGTGAGCGTAGAAACCGGAGACCCTTTTTACTGAAAATTAGACATTCGATCTCGGTCCTCATGGGTCTACACGCATGGGTCACAACGCATCTACAGTTTGCTTTTTAATCGAGAATAAATGTAGATGTTTATGTGCCACAGCATCCACTTACCATAAGGTGGAATGTGTGCACACTTATCACCCTTATTCTATAAAAAAAATTAAAACCGATTTCTAGGATCCTATATCACGGGTTCTCCTTGATAAAGTTCTATAAATTTAATAGTGGATTCGTTATTCAATCCATTACACTAGATAGGTATATTTAAAATTATTTTTTTAAAATTATTTTATAAGAAACATAATAACCACCTACGACAAAGTTCACGGGTCAAGCGAATAATGACGAGTATATAAACACCGATACGAATACACACGACCATTCCTTTGACTCGTGCTAAAAACCTACATCAAGTGAATAACAGGCGTTTACAGTAAAGAGTACGAACACTCGTGCCTATTCGTATGTGCTCGGCGAATATCAAAACGTTGAGAAAAAAATATATTTCGGCAAAGAGCGATTTTCTATGCCTAATGGGCCCATCTTCTCCGTATGACGTCTGGCTTGCGTTCGGTTACTTATCGGGCGAGAACCAGTGTTGTCGCCGCGTGACCATAGATGGTGCCACTGATTCTCCGACAC